ATTTTTTATTGACCTTTTACAGAAAGGAAGGGAGAGGGCTAGAGAGTCAGAAACATCGATGAGAGAGAAACATCGATCAGCTGCTTCCTGCACACCCCCTACTGGAGATGTGCCCACATCCGAGGTACATGCCCTTGACTGGAAACAAACCTTGGACCCTTCAGTCCGCAGGCCGATGCTCTATCCACCGAGCCAAACCAGTTGGGGCAGTCATGGTTAAATTTTAAATCTATTTAACTTAAGCCTTCAACACTGAATTTGTTTCCTATCCTATATAATAAAACACTAATATGCAAATCGACTGAACAGCAGAATGACTGGTCACTATGATGTGCACTGACCACCAGGAGACAGACACTCAATGTAGGAACTCATCCCTAGTGGTTAATGCGCTTCTGCAGGGGCAGCGCCGCTCAGCCAGAAGCCGGACTCACGGTGAGCACAGCGGTGGTGACAGGAGCCTCTCCCGCCTCCACAGCAGCGCTAAGGAGTAGCAAGCCTGGCTTCTGGCTGAGTGGCACTCCATGTGGGAGCGCTGCTCAGCCAGAAGCCGGGCTCACGGCTGGCAAGTGCAGTGGTGGTGGTGGGAGCCTCTCTCATCTCTGCTGTAGGCGGGTAGTAAGGAGCCGAGGGGTCCCAGACTGCGAGAGTCCTGGACTGTGAGAGGTAGTCTGAGTGCCGGCTTAGGCCCGATCCCTGTGCACTGGGCGTCTAGTTGATACTATAACATATTACTACAAACTCAGTGTCTTAAAACAATACAAATTTATTATCTTAAATATCTTTAGATTAGAAGCCTGACATAAGTCTCAACAAGCTTAAATCAAGGTGTCAAAAGTAATTCCTTTTTTGGAGCCTCTAGGGCAGGGGTAGGGAACCCTTTATCTGCAAAGGGCCATTTGGATATTTATAACATCACTAGAGGCCCAGTGCATGAAATTCGTGCACTGGTAGGGTCCCTAGTGGCTGGTGGGAGCTGGCCGGGGTACTCCCTTTCTTCCCCTGGCTGCCCTGCCCCCTGTACTCCCTTTCTTCCCCTGGCTGCCCCAAACCATGACCTCCTGTTCATAGGTTGCCGTTCAACCACTGAGCAATACCAGTCGGGCTATTTTCTGTTTCTTGATGATTTAGATTTGGAAGATTGTATATTTCTGGGAATTTATCCATTTCTTCTAGGTGTCCAGTTTGGTGGTGTATAATTTTTCATGAATACTAAGTCTCATGATCCTTTGTATTTATGAGCTATCTCTTATAATGTCTCTCTTATTTTATTTATTTGAGTTCTCTCTTTTCTTCTTGGTGAATCTAGCTAGAGGTTTGCCAGTTTAATCTATTTAAATTTGGAGGATTCTATGGAATATGTTGCATTTTTTCCTCAAGAGTAGTATGATTGTTTTAATCCTTCCTTCCAGAATCTAGATGTTAATTTCTTACAGCATAAGTAATTTGGTGATGATAATTTTACGGGCTTTATATATAATACTCTTTTCTAGCAGGTTCCCACTTAATAGATTTTGAATAGAAGCAATAATACAACTAGTAATATCTGATTATATGGTATAGGGTTTATTTTCATCTCTATTAATATACAGGAAAACTTAGTTTCTCATAACACCCTAGTTGATTTCTTCTCAACAATTAGGTTTTCCGGGAGTCTGATAAATTTTTTTTGAAGCTATTTCAGTAGCTTAGGACCAGAATTCTCTTCATATCTTTTCATTGTTCGTATTAGCCATTATGCTTTTTTAACTGATTGCTACTTTTTTTTTTTAACCTTACTTTCTAACTAGGTTTGGCAGGATAGAGTTTTTAGCATTTTGCATAAGAGAAGGGAAAGAAATTGTGAGGAGAATTACATTTTTAGAGTTTAAAATAAAGGACAATAGACCTGACCTGGGTAAGATAGAATCCAAAGCTCTGAACTGATATAGGAAATTCTTCTTTTCCAATTTTATGTTTAATAGCATTGCTTGCATTTATTCTCACTTAGTTTTACTATGAAAGAATAATTTTAAAAATTATTTTTAGATGTAAACGAAAAGCCAGTTTATTTGATTACAACACTAGATAACACAATGGAAGATCTGTTAACACTGGAGTATGTGAAGGTAAGCAGTACCATTTATATCTGCTTGCTGTGGTAAATGTGCAGCTGAAATGTTAAATCAAATTTTGTAAGTTTAGTGATACTCAGTTTAATCATGATTCTATTGGAATCTCTATAATGCTTAAAACTTTGAGTTTTTGTTTTGTGCTCTATTAAATAGAACACTTCATATAGCAAATGAGAAGTCTTCGTCTAAGTAGAAATAACCTGCAGTTTTTCCCCCCATCAGGGTATCAAAAAGAAAGAAACTCTTTAATCTTTATCCTATTTATTGTGATATATGATGTGAGATGAAGCTTTCACTTCATCGCACATCATATATTTCCTACAATTTGTCTGAAATTACCTAATTTTTCTGGTGTCAGTGACTCCTGGTGTCATCTCTTTTCTATTGACTTATGATATCCATTTTATCATGTGTGTTTTTATATATACTGTGGTATACTTATGATTTAGTCCATGTTTTCATTGACCTATTTTTATGTAAGTGCCACATTATTTTAATAATTACTTCATAGTAAGATAATGCTGAAAGAGTAACACAGAATATTTAGATATTTAGTGGACAATTCTGTCACAAATTTTGTTTTCACATACAGGAAGAATTAGGAAGGACCTTACATAGTTGTTGATGACAATGATTGTTCTCCATACTTGATAATATTTAATTTTTTACTCTTGATAACTTAATACTTGCCATCTGCCAAATTTCTTTTGCTCTGTGGAAGCAGTTGTTCATTTAGGTAATTATACATATAAATAGCTGGAAGTTTTTTATACATGTCTATTAGGACCATTATGTAACTGTATTTACATATGTTTTTTAAAGATTTCTAACAGATTTCTTTTATTCTCTTTGGGTAGGCTGAAAAGAATGTACCCAACTTGAGAAGTTCCTTTAATAATGTTGAACAACTGATTAAGGTATAAGTGAATAATAATTTTTTAATTAGGTACAGTATTTCTAAGTGAATAATATATTATGAAATTTATTTTATAGCTAGAACTCTAAGATCCTTGAGGATAAAAATGGAATATTATAAATTGGATCCTTTGTACCACAAAGCCTAGTGCCTTATAACAGAGCAGTCAAATAAATATTGACATAGTACTAAAATCAATTTTGTTCTTTAGGTGAATTTTTCCTCTTTGGATATTCATTTGCATACGGAAGCACTTCTGAATACAATAAACTATTTTAATAATTTCATTCCACAATTGGAGGAAAAGTCAGCCTCAGTGCATGTTGCGGAGACAGAAGACAAAGGAGAGGTCATTAAAAAAATAGGTATGTTTCTTTAAAATTCTTCTTCTTTTTTTTTAACCAAGTAGATTAATAAATTTATCTTTGGCTCTGTTAACTTACAATATTGTCTTCAGAATTTTATTGCCTAACTTAAAAATCTAGAAAGATTCACTATATACCAGGCTAATTTTAGAAAATAATAGTAAAGGAAAATGATTACTGCTGAAGAAAATGTGGTTTTTATTTATTCTATCATTCTTTTAAGTTGAAGATTATACTATAGAAGTATTTGGTTTATATTAAAATTCATGCATTTTATATCATTACTTTAATAAAATAGAGCTAATAATTTTTGAGTAATATCAGTGTATATTTTTAAATTAGAGTACTTTTTAAGCTTGGAAAAGTTGCAAGTTTAATAATGACAGGTATCACCTAGTAATTATTAACTCTCAAAAGATTTATTATTTTGTAGCCAGCAATCCTAGTTTCAAATGTTAGCCTCATCTAGCATCCTTTTTTTTGTGTGTGTCTGTTTGCTTTTGTTTGGCTTTTTGTTTTCATTAGATTTGATTGTTTTTTTAGAATTCCTAATTTATAAGGGAATTTCTTGCTTGTTTTCAATTGAATTGCAAATCAGGTTTTTCTCTAGCATTACTTTTATTTGTTGTGATATTTTACTTAAGTGTAGCGAGGTAGCTATAAGTTTTTCCTTATGTTTTACAATATGACTTTATTGCAGCTTCAAGACGATACAGGCATGAAGATATTACCTTGCAGATCTTAGCAGAATTATCATGTTTACAGATCTTTATTCAAGATCAGAAACATAACATTGCTGAAATTAAGATTGAAGGTAATAAAATTTCAGAAAAATAAATCCAAAACTATTACATGAAAGAAAAGGCATTTAACCATTCTTTTATTTTCGTAGGGCTTGATTCTGAGATAATTATGAGGCCTTCAGTAACTGAAGTAAATGCAAAGCTAAGAAATATAATTGTTTTGGATTCTGATATAACAGCTGTATATAAAAAGGTATGAATTTATTTCTGTTAATTAACAGTACATTTTTTAAATTTAATTTTCTTTAATTAGTCATGGGTATAAATTAGTTGTCTTATTTTAGCTGTGTGGCTTATTATATCTTTGGTTTTGGACTTAGGCATAATTGGGTTCTTATCTCTACTCCTAATCCTGAATTCTGTTTCTTTATTTGTAAAACTAGAGGCCTGGTGCACGAAAGCCTGTACCCTCTCACAGTCCTGGAGCCCCGCGATCTATCATTCAAAAGAGGTGGGCCCCACCCAGTTGGGGCTCTGGGATGGATTGCCCCCGCAGAGGGAGGCCCTGCCCACCCCCAGCCAGTTAGCCTGGGTCTCCCTCTTTGGGACAATCGATCGCGGGGCTCTGCCGTCGATTGCCCCAAAGAGGTAGGCCCTGCCCATCCAGTCAGGGCTCTGCAATGGATCGCCCCCACAGAGGGAGACCCCGCCCATCAGCCGCAGCGCTGCCAGTGGTCTGGCCCTCCCTCTTTGGGGCGATCATGGAGCCCCCCAGATTGATCGATCGCCCTGGTGGCCGGTGGCCTGGGCCTCCTTCTGCAGGGCGATGGGGCGATAGCCGGGCCCCAGACCAATGGCATTGCACCTGCCTTGGCTGGCCTGGCACCAATGGGTGCCATAGCGTGGTCATCTGGAAGGTCGTCTGGATGGTCGTTTTGCTGTTCAGTCATTTGGTCAATTTGCATATTATGCTTTTATTATTATAGTTGAGGATTAAGTATCTTATAAATGAGGTAAATATAAGTAATCCCTCCTAGAACATAGTTGCAGGGGAATGGGGGCAGGGCTGTGGAGGGATGGGTAAGTAGTAAATGCCCTTTTCACTTTTTCTTTTTCTTTCTCTCCTCAAATACTATGAACTTTGTAATGCATTTCAGATTTCACAGGCAGAGTGTCTGAAGTCATATCAAATGAATGAGATTTTAAAAAAAGTTTATTTTCATCATTGCTTACTGGTGTCGCTGTTACAGTGTTAAGAGTCCGTTGAACTGGATGGCTAGTAGTTGAAGGATGGGTATTTTGTTATTGGCTGTAAGACTGTAAGGTACTTGAATTAGATACTGTTGTGTAGTTGGACACATAATTTTTGAACAGTGGAGCATTCAGGTAAGATGGTATATTTAAGGTAGTGAAGAGTATCAAATAATAGTAGGATAAGAAAAGGCTGAGGTACTTGGTTAGGAAGTCAGAGTTTGGAGTGTGACAGGAAGAAAGGAAATAGAAAAATAGGTTTAGCCAATAATACTGATGAGATACTGTGATGACCTGATTTTTATATTAAACAAAAGTCCTCATTCCTTATATTTTCTTACTAAAACTTGCTAGCATGAGCTAACAAGAGTTCCAAAACAGCAAAGATACATGACTCATAAGAATGAGGTGTGGTTAGCTTCTATTTCTTTTGTTTTAAAAATCACAGTGGTTAGAGCTTTGAGGAAGACATCCATTTTATTTGCCCTATCTGGAAAGTAAAGCTCAAATAAGTGCATTTACTAAAAGTCATACAAGAATTTAGAAATGGAACCAACATTATCACTCATGCCCTTTTTCTTCTTTTTCTCTGTAATTTTATTTTTAATGCATCTATAAGGTTAAAAATCCAACTTACAAAAAAGGCCGCTAATGAAAGTTTCTCACTTCTATCTTTTTGCCCCACTTCTGTTTTCCTGTCCTTATTCCTTGACTTTGATTCTGATGTAAATGACTTTTAAACAATCTACCTGGTTCTGTAGGTCACTACATGTCAAGAGAACCAGAAGGACAAAGCTTTTTGCACTAGATCACAGCTTCCTAGGTAACCAAGGTTGCTGTCAGATTCAGAAACGAAGATGGGACCAGAAGCCTTGGCAGGGGCCGGGCGGGGGCGCAGAGGATGGACCGAGATCCGCCCCTGTGCCCACCTCAGCCTCTCGGCCCACAGTTCCTTTCAAGGTGCACAAATTCGTGCTTTGGGCCCCTAGTATTTAAATAAGAGATTTGGCTATGTTCCAATAACATTTTAATTTATCCTATCTAATAAAGAGGGAATATGCTAATTGATCCTCATGCCGACGCCTAGATGGTGGCGCCCACAGCCAATAAGGAGGGAATATGTGAATTGACTGTCCCGCCCTCAAAGATGGCGGCTCCCACAGCCAATAAGGAGGGAATATGCTAATTGACTGCCCCACCATTAAATATGGCAGTGCCCACAACCACAAGATGGCGGCACCCAGTCCCCTCAGCCTTGCTGGGGCAGCAGGCGTGTGGCAAGACCGGGCCCACCCCATGCGCCTGCCTCCGGAGTCCCCCAGTCCCCTCAGCCCCCAGCCACTCAGGGCCAGCCCCAGGTGCAGGCAAGCCTTGGATGGCACTGCCCAGCTGCCCAGGGCCGCCTGAGGCTCAAGTAACCAGGGCCAGCCAAGGCTTGTGCCGCTGGCAGTGGCAGCAGCAGAGGTGTGATGGGGCATCGCCTTCCCCTGATCGCCGAGTTGCCTCCCACCCCTGAGGGCTCCCGGACTATGAGAGGGGGCTGGCCGGGCTGAGGGACCCCCCCCTCCAGTGCATGAATTTCATGCACCGGGCCTCTAGTTGGATAATAAAATATAATTTTGATATATCACAAAATATTTTTTGATATTTTAAACTTCTTAAGAGTGTGAAAAACATTTTTACTAAATCCTACTGGTTGTAGTTGTTTAACTTACCAATATTATGGGGAGGGATGTTACTTTTTTCCTTACTGATTTGTAGGAATCATTTATTCTGCATATTATTTCTTGATTCAAATACTATTTTCTTATTATGTCTTTTGATGAACAAAAGTTCTTAATTTTAATAAATAAAATTTATCATTTCTTACCTTCTTGGTTTGAGAATTTTGTGTTTTCTAAACCATTCCATTCCTTGAATTCATAAAGGTATTACTCTATGTGATTTTTCTAAAAGTTAGATAATTTTGCCTTAAACTTCTAGGTCTTTAATTCTACTTAGAATTTTTTTTTTATATGGTTGAGGCTATAATTTCACTTTTTCCACACTGAATTTCCTAGTACCATATATTGAGATAACCGTCTTTTTCTCACTCATCTATAGTACTATGTCCATTAAATATAAGATGTAGATATGTGAATAGATTTGTTTCTGAGCTCTCTTTTATTTGTTTATCCTTGCATCAGGAGCAAATATATAGTATTAATTTGATGCTGGATACTGTTCTAAGTGCTTTATAAATGTTATTTAATCTCCCGGTAAATTATTCTTCATTTCAGCTCATGTATCCTTCATTTCTGACTTGTTCTTTTTTATGGTTTTCATGCTTTTTTTTTTTTTTTTTTTTTTTTTTTAATGCTGTTGAAGTTCCACTAAGTTCATTTTGCATCCTTATAACCAGTATTTTGAATTCTGCATCTAGTGGATTGTCTCCATGTTGTTCAGTTCTTTTCCTGGAGTTTTGTTCTATTTTGTCATTTGAGATATGTTTCCTTGTCTCCTTATTTTGATAGCCTCCCTGTGTTTGTTTCTGTTTATCAGGTAGAGAGCTGTTATGTGTCCTGGGCTTGGTAGAGTGGTCTTATGTTGTAGGTTTTCTCTAGGGCCAGGGTTACAGCCTCCCTGATACCCACACTGGGCACTGGGGTCATCTAGGAGGTACAGGCCCAGGTCTGCTGCTGCCTATGTTCCGCCCAGGGCCTCCCAGCATGAGCTACAAAGTGGTCTGCAGATGGATCCTAATTTTAATGGGCTTGGAAGTGCCCAGGTAAAGCCAAACTGCAAACCAAGGTTGGCTGCTCCTAGCGCCAGGTTTGGGGCCCATTAGCAAGAAGTATGGGGTACCTGGAGGCCAGTTGCTGCTTGTTTGAGATTGTAGGAAAGTCTGAAGCACAAGCCAAGACAGGCCATTCATATGGGAAAGCCACTGGAAACAGCTTGGATGGGGCCGTAAGTTGCATGGGCAGGGTCTCAGAGAACCATCCAGGTCGGCTGAACAATGTGAGCCAGGTTGATGAATTCTCAGATGGCACCTGCCTGCCCAGCTCTGTGTATGATGTGTGTCAGAAAAAGAACAATGGTCTCTGCCAGCACTTTTTTTCTGGTAGAAACCTGCCCCTCCAGTTCTCACCCTGTTGTCAGTCAATTCAGTTCCTCCTGCTAGTCCCTGGTGCTTTTCGAGCTGCTGCATCAGTGCTGGAGCTCAGAAGGAGCAAGTCTGAGTAAGTCCTTCAAGAGGAACTGTCTGGGACTCCAGAAGCCCTCCATCGCACCCAGCCACAATCTCTGCTGTTTCTACAGCCAGAAGTTATGGGTTCTGGTGTGGGGCTGGGACCCCTCGCTCCTCAGGAAATTTCTGTAGTTGAGATATTCCTCCCAATTTTTATCCTTCCTACATGGGTGTGGGACCAACCCCTTCAACCCCTCAGCCAGTCTCAATGTGGCTTCTTTAAATCCTTAGTTTTAGGACTTCCATTTAGTTATATTTCAGGTAGTTCTAAATGATGATTGTTTGGTAGTATCGTTGTAATTTTGATGTGGTTGTGGGAGGATGCGAGTACTGTGTTTATCTACGCTGCCATCTCTGGAAGCTAGCTCCACCATTTTAACTGGTATTGCAAAATGTGTGACTTTAATCTGTAGGTAATTTTTGGTTTGCAATTGAGATGACTTCAGAAAACTAATAAGGAACAGAAAATTTCATTAAGTTGTAGAGGTACAGAGTTTTCCCAAGTTTGATAGTGACCAAAAGTTCATTTATATGGCAATTCTTACTACATAAGTAAAGACACTAATTGAAAATGTAAATTCTGATAATTTTCCTTTTTTTCTCCCCATTTATAAAACGTTGGCCAGACCTACTAAATGGATTTCATGGCCCACAAAGGGAGCTGCCACCACCAATTTCAAAAACTTGCAATGAAGGTTCTAATAAAGGGGTTAGAATTGTTGCCTTATATCTATTTGGCTTGACTACATGGGAGATTTTCCAAATATGTTGCATTGCTTTGTTTTGTAATGAAGACATCATTTCAAAAATGGATTTTGACATTTGAATTTTTCTCATTAAGGCTGTTTATATCACTGGAAAAGAAGTTTTCAGCTTCAAAATCCTTTCTTATGTGAATGCAACTGCTGATTCCGCATACACAGATATGAGTGTGGTTGACATTCAAGTTAATTTAACTGTTGGTTGCATTGAAGTAGTTTTAGTCACAAAATTTTTATATTCTATATTGGTAAGTATGTTAATTGATTTTTTAATTGATTCTTTCCCGCTAGTTGGAAATTGTTGTGCATCAACCATACATGAAGAATAATAATTTCTTGCTTGATTTTTACCACCTAATTTTTCATAATTGTCTGAGTACCACTTATTATGACTGAAATGTAAAATACTTTATGTAGTATTATTTTCACATGGGAATATCCAGTTAATTGAAATATATATTTTAGATATTAACATATTAAGTATATGTACATTATATGTCATATGTCATATATATTAATTGAGTTTTTATTTTATACATCATTGGTTTTTATGTTTTTGCTTTACTTAAGTTTCAACTCTAATGAAAAATACTAAAAATATAACTTAAGTTTGTTGTTGTCTCAGGTTATTATTTTAAAAATTATATTTTCTATTATGTTATAATTCTGTGACTGGGGCTTTAAGAGCTTTAGATTTAATCTCTATATGATACACTCTAAGGTATTTGAATTACTTTTCATAGTTTATTTTCCCCTGTGGTTTTTTCATTCTGTCACTTGATGTTTTCTCTGGTGAGTGTCTTACCTGTCTCTATGGCTTCACTATTCATTCTTTTAAAATGCTATCTCTTAGTGTTGGTGTATAAAATGGATAACTAGTTGATTCTAAGTACATAATGTTGCCGTTTTTTTATCTTTTTAATTAAGGTTACCATGCAATTTTTCATATACCCATAAATTTTTTGTACACCAAAACATAAATATGAACAAATATTTCTTGTCTAATTTATTTTTTTAAATTCCTAGTTATTTGCTAAATGATTTTTAAAAATATTTTTATTGATTTCAGAGAGGAAGGGAGAGAGAGAGAGAGAGAAACATCAATAATGAGAGATAATCATTAATTGGCTGCCTCCTGCACACCCACACTGGGGACTGAGCCTGCAACCCTGGCATGTGCCCTTACCTGGGATCAAACTGTGACCTCCTGGTTCATAGGTAGATGCTCAACCACTGAGCCATGCCGGCCAGGCTCTAATTTCTTTTTAGAACTTGAAAGAATTTTTGTCACTGAGCCTGATGTGATACCCTTTTACTAAAAAATTACTGAAAATGAAATCTTTTTCTAAGTATGAAAATTAAATGTAACTTTAGGTATATTTTATGTCATTGCGGTGTTTTTTCCAGAATTCAGAAATTAGAAAAGTTTAGTATTCTTCAGGAAATATATTTTAATTTTTTATCTTACAAACATAAAGGAGCTCTCTGCCAGTTGAGTTTGTACAGGGAAACACAATGTAATTGGTTAGCATTTAGGAAAAATGAGACAATGAGGGAGCTAGATATCAGTGAAATATTGCAATATCCACATGTTACTTGTTCCAGGGACTAGTTTTTCAATGTTCTGCTATATCTTTGTATCTTTATCTTTGTGTTTCTCAATTTTTATGCAGAAGATTAAGATTTAATATAGGCAGTCAGACTTCGAATATATACTGCCTGGTTGTACCAAGAAAATTTTTTTCTTATGGAGGTAAAATCATTACCTGCCTTATACATTTAATAAGTCTTATTCATTAATGGTAACCTTGTGAATATAATTCTGTTACCTTTATAGGCTTTCATAGATAATTTTCAAGCAGTTAAAGAAGCCTTGGCTGAGGCAACTGTCCAGGCCGCAGGAATGGCTGCTACTGGTGTAAAAGAACTGGCACAAAGGAGTTCTAGAATGGCGTTAGATGTTAACATCAAAGCCCCAGTTGTGGTCATCCCACAGTCTCCAGTTTCTGAAAATGTCCTTGTTGCTGATTTTGGACTAATTACAATGACCAATACATTCCATATGATAACAGAGAGCCAGTGCAATCCCCCACCCATTATTGATTTGATTACGATAAAGCTGAGTGAAATGCGACTATACAGGTAAGCTTTCCAAAAATATATTTGTATAGAGTGGTCATTTTCTAACTTTTTACATTACAGGCTTTGGTATCCCGAGTCTTCTGTTTACAGTATTTTATTTCATTATAACTATACTTAATTTTGTGGAACTCTTTCCTTAAGTATTTTTGGTAAGATCAATTATAGTCTTCTAGTTTTTAAAAACTTAGAAATGTATATTTGAACATTTCTTTTTAGATAAATTAATTATCTCAGGAAGCATATTTGTGCTTATTTGTAGTTTTTGTTGTTAATACTCAAGTGAGGATATTTTTTCCATTGCTTTTTAAAGAGAGAGTGGAAGAGAGGGAGGGAGGGGGAGGGGAGAGGAGGGGTGAGAAAAAGAGAGAGAGAGAGAGAGAGAGAGAGAGAGAGAAACATTGATGTGAAAGAGGCACATCTGTTGGATGCCTCCTGCAGGAGCCCAACCAGAGCCGGGATCAAACCTGCAACCCAGGTTTGTGCTCTAACCACTGAGAATACTGACCAGGGCTGCTTGTTTATAATTCTTTATAAATTATAAGGTTATGGAATAATTGGAGGAATTCCTAATAGCATACATTTATTCACTTCATAAACACAGCATTATCCAAACTACTCTATCAACTTTGTGCTGTGAATCTGATGTTCTCGTTAAAACAAAACAAAATAAAATACACACAGTAGAATACAACTTTATGAAATCATTGGGCATAGAATTATGAGTTAGGAGAATAAATGAATATCCAGATATTTCCAGAACTTTTTACTGTGTTTTTGTGCTATTTCTAATCACTACTTTAGATTTAGTGCCCTGTGCCTTTTTCAGCTTGGATACATCTCTGTTTATACCTCTCACTTGCCCTCTTCTTTTTTCCTCTCATTTTTCTTTGATCTTATTCTATTTGTTTCTTTTCCTTTATTTTTGCTACTTCTCTTGACTGGCCTCTGGCTGGTCTGTCTCCCTCAATCTGTCTTCTTTCCATCAGTTGAGTACTTTTTTTAGAAAAGCAAGAATTTATTGACCGCAACAAAAACACACTTAGCACAGTGAAATAAGGAAGGAATAGCAATTGAGTATTTTTAAAGCAGTTTATTGAGATATAATTGACATATAAGCAATCACATATCTTCAAAGTGTATAATATGATAAGTTTTGACATGGATACACTTGTGAAAGTTTGTGTACATTGTAATATTTCTTCTTTAAATATTTGGTAGAATTCACCAGGGAAGCCATCTGGTCCCAGGGTTTACTTGTGGGAGATTTTTAAATACATTTTAAATACATTTTCCATTCCCTTAATAAACTTATGTCTATTCAAGTTATTTTTTTCTTGTGTGATCTTTTTAAAATTTTTTCAAGAAATTTGTCCATTTTGTTCACATTGCAGAATGTTATGGTATAAAGTTGTGTATAATGTTTCCTTCTTATTATTAATATACACAGGGATTTTGCCTCCCTCATTCTTGATATTTATAGTTTATGCCTTTTTACTAATCAGTTTGGTGAGAGGTTATCAGTTTTATTGATTTTAAAGAACCAGCTTTTGGTTTTCTCTCATTTTTCTCTTTTCTCTTTCATTTATTTCTGCTTTGATATTTATTATTTCCTTCTGCTTATTTTGGGTTTAATTTTGCTTTTTCGAAGTTTCTTTACGTGTTAGCTAATGTTGATATGAACATTTCTTCTTTTATAATTTACTGCAGGCATTTAGTACTAAAATTTTGGAGTTTTTCTCTGTAGCTCTCTTCTTTCTGGCATTTTACTGTTCGAGCTCTAGCTAGCTGCCTTGGTCACAAGAATTCTCAGTGCCATCTCATGAATTACTGTCCAGTGCTTGATGTCCTATGTCCTTTTATTTCTTTTTAGAAAATTTGGCCTTTAATTTGCATTAAAATAAATTTCTTTAAATATTTCAGTTACAAGTTCTAATAGTGAAGACATAATAGATGCTGCAGGTACTCAGTATTGGCTCCCATCCTTTCCCCCACTCTCTCTCCCAAGCTTTGTTTTTTCCTCAAGATTCAAATGGGCACTCTGCACTAAATAAATGGCTCCTGGTGCCACTTATTTCAGGTTACACATTGTAAACAAGTGTTCTTTATGCATGCCACGTTTATTGCATTTTGGAACTTTTTGTTGTGGATTTTGCTGTTCAAATTGCTGCCAAGCATATAGTGCCAGTTATAACCATAAAAGATTAAAAGTGGATGAATTGTATGGATGTGAGTTGTCTCAATAATACTATTTAAAAAGCTAAAGGAAAATAATATGTAAGTATCAGTAATAGGGTAGAACACAACTTTCTAATTTAAGCATTGAAGGAATAAGAAAAGTAATAAGGGAAAAATACCGATTGGGTTTGACTGTACAAGAATGTAATTTTCTGAATATTAACAAAACAAAGTTATAAGGGAAAAAGAATATGGGGTATTAGCATCTTTATCAAAGGATAAAAATCTTTAAATATTTTAAACCAGAAAGAACAAGATAATTTCAAAAATTGGTAAAAAACACAACTAGATGATTCTTTAAAGGAGCCAATAAACAGCTAATAGAAATGTTCATACACACAAATTTATTGATTTCTACTATTAGTATATAAAATGAAAATTTTAACTTTTTGTTACTATCTGAGTACATATGAAACAGTTTGCAATAATTTTCTCTCTCCTTTTAGGTCTCAATATAGTAATGATGCATACCAGGAAGTACTGGATATACTACTGCCATTAAATCTTGAGGTGATTGTTGAGCGAAATTTAGCCTGGGAGTGGTTCCAGGAAGTTCCTTGTTTTAATATAAATGCTCAACTAAAGCCTATGGAGGTAATTTTTCAGATACTTGTTGATTCCTTTTTTTTTGGTTAAAAGATATTGCTTGGGGACATATTGCTTGGGTGTAGAAGTTATATCTTTATTAATCACCTTTGTCAGAATTGAAATATTAGCTCTATTAATCTAGAATTCATAGAATATTCTCCATTCATTCATTCAACAAATATTTGTGTTCCTACTGTGTTAGATATTGGAGATACAGTGGCAGAGAAGCAAGACATTGTCTTTGGCTCTGTGGACTTACCAGTCTGATGCAGGGGTTGGTGGTGATAGGAGTCCAGAGGTGTGATAGATAATAAAAAGTACACACGTACATTATTAAAATGGTTTTAAATTGTGGCAAATTCTATGAAGGAAACAAATATTAGGATGCTATAAGTAGTCAGTTGGATACATTAACATGGAATTTAGTGGAGATGTCTAGGCAGGATAGAATTTGATGTTATCAGCAATGGGAATATATGGAATAACCTAGAGAAAATCGTAGAAGAATGGAGAGGTTGAAGATGAAAATTGCAAATGGGTCAGGACCTTAGGCATAAATTAACCTCGCTATTGGTTGACATTGCTTCACAGATCCCTAATGTACCTATCCACAAATTCATATTGTTCCCTCTTCACTGGATGGAACTATTTCACATGTTTTGCTGAAGTGACAGCAACATATGTTGTGTCTGCAAGGTTTCTTTTCCCAGTCCCCGTCCCCAGTTTCCCTATTTCTTCCTATAAAAATGTATTAAAAAAGAGAAAACAATTATTTTAAAGATTTAAGATTTTTAACTTAAAAGTCTGTTTAGAATTTAAAACCTCTCAACTGGAAGAAAAATGTTAAATTCTTAGTATATAGATCATATGGGCATCTTAACTTATAGATGGAAAGTACCCTCTTAAGATAAATAATTGAAGTCTCTTTGTATTGGTAAGACAACAGATTGAAACTTATAAAAGACTAGAGGCCCAATGCACAAAATTCGTGCAAGAGCCTTGGCCCCAGGCCCCGCCCGGGCCTCTGCTGCCTCTACTGTGGCCCCAGCCTGCTGAGGCTTTGTCCAGAAGGAAGGACGTCTGGAAGGACGTCTGGTCTAATTAGCATATTATGCTTTTATTATTGTAGATAAGTAGCATGCTGAGCAAATCCTCTTCCCACTGGACACAGTCATTAGGCAGATTTAGTGGGGTGGCAGGACACTGTTTTCCTTCACTCTTCCCCAGGGCGAATCCATGCAGTATCAGGTAATATTTCAGGTCATCTGCCAATGCCTGGCTACCTTCCAGGACTGATGAAATTGGGTCTTTGCTTATCCTTATTCACATGAATAGGCAGCAGTTGTTGTAGACCACCCCTTAGAATGCATTTAGACTAAGTACTGCAGCTTGTGATTTCTGTCTTGTCAGATGTTTGGGGATAGCACACAGACTGCCCTGACATGTAGGAGCCATAGAGCAACAATCTGGGGGTTGTTACCATTTTTCCAACTTCTGCACTGAGCTGTTAGCAAGAGTGAGAGTGATGATTAACATCAAGAACTGGCAGGCATTCAATATACATGTACTAATTGAAAAGTGTTGATTTAGAAATTATATTTTATTTCAGTTTATAAATTTATATGAACATACTATTTTTGCAATGACTGCTGCATAATAATCACAAAATAAATATTTTTTTAAAACCAAAGTAGTAGGTATGTACTAAAACAACATAAATAGCATGAGTAAGGTACACATGGATTTAATCTTAAAACACTAGATTAGTATATAGGAATATCTTGTTTTATTGTGCTTTGCTTTTTCGTGCTTCACAATTTTTTGCAAATTGAATGGCAAACCAGCTTCGAGCAGCAAACTTATTGCCACCATTTCCCCAACAATGTTTGCTCACTTCACATCTGTGTCATATTTTAGTAATTCCCCCAATATTTCATACTTGTCTATTATTATATTTGTTTTGGTGATTTGTGGTTAGTCATCTTTGATGTTACTATTGTTATTGTTTTTCGGCACCACCAACCACACCCATATAAAACTGTAAACTTAATAGATAAATGTTGTATGTTTTCCGACTCCTCTACCAACTGCCCTGTTCAAGCTGGTTTCCCTATCTCTCCCTCTCTTTGGGTCTTCCTATTCCTCGAGACACAGTAATGTTGAAATTAGGCCAATTAATAACCTTACAATGTCCTCTAAGTGTTCAAGTGAAAGGAAAAGTTGCACTTCTCTCATTTGAAATCAAAAGCTAGAAATAATTAAGCATAGTGAGAAAGGCATGTCAAAAGCTAAGATAGGCTAAAAGCTAGACCTCTTGCAACAAACAGCCAAATTGTGAATGCAAAGGAAAAGTCCTTGGAGGAAATTAAAAGGACTACTTTAGTGAACACACAAATGATTAAAAAGCAAAACAGCTTCATTGTGGATATGGAGAAAGTCTTAAGGGTTTGGATAGAAGATTAAACCAGGTAAAACAGTCTCTTAAGCTAAAGTCTAATCCAAAGCAAACCCCTAACTCTGTCCAATTCTCTGAAGGCTGAGATAGGTGAGGAGGTTGCACAAGAAAATTTTGAAACTAGCAGTGGTTCGTTCCAAAAGTTAAGGAAAAAAAATCTGTCTCTATAACATAAAAGTACAAGGTAAAGCAGCAAATGCTGATGTAGAAGCTGCAGCAAGTTATCCAGAAGATCTAATTAAGATAATTAATGATGGTGGTTACACTAAACAACAGTATAGATGATATGGTCTTATATTGGAAGAAGATATACCATCTAGGACTTTGGTAGCTGGACAGGAGAAGTCAGTGCCTGCCTTTAAAGCTTCAAAGAATAAGTTGACTCTTTTGTTAGGAGATAATGCAACTGCTGACTTTAAATGGAAACCAATGCCCATGAACCATTCTGGAAATCCTAGGGCCTTTAAGAAATATGCTAGATCTACTCTGCCTGTGCTCTGTAAATGAAACACCAAAACCTGGTGATAGCACATCTGTTTACAACATGGTGTGCTGAATATTTCAAGCCCAGTGTTGAGACCTACAGCTCAGGTAAAAAAAAGATTCCTTTTAAAATATTACTGCTCATTGACAATGCATGTGGTCATCCAAGGCCTCTGATAGAGAGGTACAACAAGATTAATGTTGTTTTTAGACCTGTTAGTACTACCTTCTGCAGCCCATGGATCAAGGAGTAATTTTGGCTTTCAAGTCTTATTATTTAAGAAATATATTTTGTAAGACTATTGCTGCAGTAGATAGTGATTCATCTGATGAATCTGGACAGAGTAAATTGAAAACCTCCTGGAAGGATTCACCATTCTTGATGCCATTAAGAACATTCATGACTCGTGGGAAGAGGTCAAACGTCAACATTAACACAAGTTTGGAAGAAGTTGACGCCAACTCTCATGGTGACTTTGAGGTATTCAGGACATCAGTGGAGGAAATAACTGCAGATGTGATGGAAATAGCTACAACACTAGAATTAGAAGTGGAGCGTGAAGATACGACTGAATTGCTACAACCTCACAATAAAACTTTAATGGATGAGGATTTGCTTCTTATGGATGAGCAAAGTAGGGTTTCTTGAGATGGATTCTTCTCCCAGTGAACATGCTGGGAAGATTATTGAAATGACAACAAAGAATTTAGAATATTACATAAACTTAATTGATAAAGCAGTAGCAGGTTTTTGAGAAGATTGACACCAATTTTGAAAGAAATTCTGTGGATGAAATGCTATTAAATAGCATTGCATGCCACAAAGAAATTGGTCATGAAAAAGAGAATCAATTAATATGGCAAACTTCATTTTATCTAATTTTAAGAAAATTCCATAGCTCCCCCAACCTTCTGCAACCACAACCCTTATCAGTCAGCAGCCATTAACATTGAGGTAAGACCTTCTAATAGCAAAAAAAATTGTGACTCACTGAAGGCTTAGATGATGGTTAACACTTCTTAGCAATTCAGTATTTTTTAAATCAAGTTATGTACGTTGGGTTTTTTTAGACTTAATGCTTACACTTAATAAACTATTATATAGTGTCAACATAATTTTTATATGTACTAGGAAACCAAAAAATTTGTGTGACTCACTTTATTTTGATAGTCGCTTTATTGCGATTGTCTGGAATCAAATCCACAATAGCTACAAGATATGCCTGTATCGTCTTTTCAGTGCAGTCAAAGAAAACCTGATGAAAACAAAATTGTTAATTTTTGTGGAATTAAAATTATCCCCTTGAGGTAATTAAACATATCATTGTAAAACTCATAGGTCTTTTTTATTTTTATTTTTGCAAAATGGTTTTTGTATTAGAGTTCTCTAGAGAAATAAAACAAATATGATGTGTGTGTTTGTGTGTATACTTGGCCTGTGTGCATTAGACTGACACTGAGGTCTAGGAGGGGTCAAATGTGGTCACCACGGTGGGCTACAACAGCTGCTTACTACTAAGTGAGTCATGGTAGAGATAGACTCAGTTTCATTCTAGTGGGTCTGCCCCAAAAGGCAGTTGGGCATTTGTAGATGGTATGCAGCATATATAAGGTGTGTGTGTGAGTGTAAAATATCTAGGAAAATATTTGACCAAATATCTATATACTGTGATCCAACCAAATTGACATAAAATTAACCATCACAACTTTCAGGACAGGTCCTATGCTGGTGATTTTAGGCTAAATTCTCAACACACGAGGTTTTTACTTACTGTGTTGAGTAAGTTTGTTAAGTAGACTAAAGCATGATACTAAACCACTTAAGCCTCAACTTATTATAAAGTCAGGATTATATTCATTACACCTAATACTTGTGAGGTTCAAATAAAGTAATTCATGTAAAACACATTGTGAACTATTTTTCATCATACAAATGAATTATTTTTTATTCTATATTTAAAGATTTAGCTGTTTACTAACCAAAAAAAGACAAAGTAGATGAATATTTAACCAAGTAAGTTTATTTTGAAATTACTAGTTTATTGGTAAGTTGTAATACAAATAGTTCATTATTCATAGCTTCATTGATATTGTATTTAATCTTGTTCTGTATTTCACAAGGTACTAAAACTCATGTGCTCATTTAAAACTGAATATTCAGTTAGTAGAAATATCTCATGTGTAAAAATTGGTTTTGTAGAGGATTGAAATGAAACAATTATTTTTATTGTATGTGAAGTTTTTACTACATGAAGTAGTAATATTAAAATAAGCAAATCTTATTTTTTTAACAGTTCATTCTTAGTCAAGAAGATATAACAACTATCTTTAAAACATTATATGGTAATATATGGTATGAAGGAGGTGGCAGTGTCCCACCAGCAGGAGTGAAAGATCAGAGTAGTGTTACTGGTGGAGGCACTAACACTTCACATCATTCAGGAGGTATGTTCTTGACCTTAAACTCTTTATCCTCCCACCCCACCCCACCCCACCCCCTTTCTTCTTTCCTTCCATTCTCTATTTCTAGTTTTGGAGTAAAATAAGATTAATAAATATTTTTGAATTATTTAATCCCATTCAGGTATCTCTAAATTGTTTATTATTAGTTGTTCTGTTGATTTTTCCCTTTGATTCAAAATTCTCAGTCCTATTACAAAATTCCTTAGTATTTATGCTTATCTATCCCAACATGGATCCCCTTTTTCAGTTTTTTTCTCCTTCCTTCCTCTTCTCCCTTATTCCTATTGCAGCATTTATCCCAGATGAGATATTTTATATTGATAATAGCCATATCAAAGTATTAGAGGTGTCAAGAGAGGATAAGCATGAATAAATTTTGGATTTCAACAAATATTTAAAGGGTAGATGGAATATTTAAAGAGACAGAACAGAGGGAATCATCACGGAGAAAGGCTGTTTATCCAATGTTGGCTATAATGTGCTATATGGAACCTTACGGGTTCTAAGTTTAACATCAGTACAGACAGAAAATAGGGTCACTTAGGGGTGCTGGGATGAATTTGCTTCACAAGAACAAAGTTCTCATTCTGGCATTTTGGGAGATCCCCAAACCTACCTATATTAAAGAGCAACCTACTAGCTCACAAAATCCACCCTTGCAAAGCCCTGAGATTTTTACACAGCTTTGCCAGTCAAGGAGAATCCTAACATACAAACAACCACACATTTATAACATTGTAGGAAATCCCATCTTCGCTTGTTAGAATAACCAACCTAGTCCTTTACTGTTAAATATTATTGGACAGATATGAAGAAAATCACAAGAACCTGAGCATGAAAGAAACCAACATAAACAGAATAGGTAACTAGAATTAGATATATCATCAATAAAATTGAATGGGATGGAATGGATAGATGATAAAAGACTATGGAGCCATATAGTCAAATTTCTAAGAAAATTATTTTGAAGTTAGGCTTCTATATAAGGCCAAACCATCACCCAAATGTGAAAACACAATAATTCGCAGATGTTTAGTCCCACAAAGTTTACTTCTTTCATACCCGTTCCTGAATAAATTAGTTTTAAAATATATCCTAGCAAAACAAGGAATTCAGGAAAGAGGAAGACATAGGATACAAAAACAAAGGGCCTAACCAGGAGTACATGGAAAAGGAATCCCAAAATATTTTGTTACTGGGATGTGTAGTAAAAAGTACTTCATTTTCATTAAAGAGAAATTCAGAATATCTTAAGAAAAAAAGTGGAAGAATGTCTTCAAGAAGAAAAGTAGCATAAATTCCATAATATATATAGAATAAGGGATTAATTTCAGTAATTTCCCTATTAACCATGGGAATACTTTTCAAGACCCCCAGTGGATGTCTGGAACTTAGTACCTAATGCTATGTGTATTATGATTTTCCCTGTTTATATATACCTGTGATAAAATTTAACTTATATATTAGCCACAATAAATGATTAACAACAACTAATAAAGTATAGAACAATTGTAACAATATACTGTAAAAAACAGTTATGTGCATGGCTTTGAGGCCATTATTAAGTAAAATAAAGGTTACTTGAACACAAGTCTGTGATACCACAACAGTCCATCTGATAACTGACAGGACTATTAATTGACTAACAGGCAGGTAGTATATACATAGTGGATATGCTGGACAAAGGCATGATTTCACATCCTGGGCAGGATGGAGGGGTCAGCATACAATTTTATTATGCTACTTAAATGGTGCACAATTTAAAACTTATGAATTATTTTCATTTAATACTTTCAGACCTTGGTTGACCATGGGAAACATACCACAGAAAGCGTAGCCGTGGATAAGGGGGACTACTATAAGTACCTTCCATAAGTGATACGGAGAGGAAGACATGCTTTCTGTTCCTAGGAAGGGAGAAATTGCTACAAACAGTCAGGTGCAGAAGTGGAGGAGATTTTGCATGATTTTGAAAAATTGTTAGCATGTGAGAAGAGATTTTCTTTTGAGAGATGTACTAGTTGTAATGTAGCAGCAGAGGAACTATTATAATAAACGGTTAGTCTCTTTGTTGAAAATTATTACATAGCTATAGTTAAATCAGACATGGAAGACTTAATCTGTAAATAAGAACTTAAATGTTATTAGCTATGTTAACCTAGTAGTAACCATTGTTAACTGAGCAAAGCTGGAAAGAGGAAGATGGGACCAATAAAGGAAATACATGGTAAGGGCTTAAAATATAGGCAGTGCAAAGGTAATGTCTAAAATGTGCAGGATGAAAAATAGACATTTAAATATATTATTTTAATCATTCATCTCTAGAAATTTTTTCCCATTACCCAATTTCAACAATTAGTATAATATGGCTGCTTTTATTGCTACTATAACTCTTCTCCTCTTCTATACCCATTTGATTAATAATTCTGTTAAATCTATTTTAAGGCTGTTTTAATGAGTTCTAGCTTTCCTGATTATTTTTCTTTTATCTAATAACTTTAATTTTTCCAAGGAACAACTGTAGTGACAGCTGCTGTGGTAGAAGTACATTCATGTGCCGCTCAAGTTAAGACAACACTAAATATGAGTTTCAAAACTGATTATCTCACCATGATACTGTATAGTCCAGGTCCTGAACAGGTAAGTTGAGGGGGAAAATATGTTTTTTACTTGATGAAAATTATATAGTGAATATTAAAATGCCAATTATTAATATTTTATGTACATTTTGGAGTATCTGTTCCTGTGAGAAAAATTATTGATCTCTTCATTTTAATAATAAAATAATTTTAACCATTTCCCTTTTAAAATGAGTTATCTTTGCTATAGTTAGTAATGTGAAAACTAAATTTTTGAATTAAAGTCAATTTATTTTTTGGCCTTTCTTAGTGAGCCCTTTGGAGATAGAGAATGTGGTAGTATATAATTAAAAAATGTGTCATATTTATGTGTTTGTGTAAAATTTATATTGATTTTCTCTTCTGCAGGTTTCCTTTACAGATGTTCGTGATCCTTCTCTGACACTTGCGGAATTTAAATTGGAGAATATAATAAGTACTTTAAAAATGTATACAGATGACTCAATATTTTCTGCCTTCTCATTAAAAAATTGTATTTTAGATGATAAAAGGCCTCATGTCAAGAAGGCAACTCCTAGGTAATAGTGTTCTGCGTTTTTACTTGAAATATGGTTGATATATTTTATAAAACTTATTCCCAAAGTTGCACATTCATTTTTTGGGCACATCCTTAATATCATCAGAGCTTTCAATTCAGTGAAGTCATGGTTCCCAGTCAACGTTTTAAATGTCCGGGTGGCTTGGTTGGTTGAAGCATCATCTCATACATCAAAAGGTGGCAGATTCCATTCCCTGTCAGGGCTCATACGCAGGTTGCGGGTTTGATCCCAGGTTAGGGTGCATCTGAGAGGCAACGGATTGATGTTTCTCATATCGATGTTTTTCTCTCTCCCTCCCACCTTCCCTCCTTTCTTCTCTCTCCAAAAATAATTAATTAATTAAAGACATAATATGTCTTGTTTCAGTTATGTGCTCTTGCTGGATGGTTGATAGATTAATTAAATAAAAATAATAAGTGTAATTTTTTGTGTTTTTTTCCAAATTAATTTATATTATCAAAATTATTATAAATTCAAAATTTAATGGGAAATATATGAAAAATCAGCTGAGATTCCAAATTCTGATAATTTCTTAAAGACACACTAACTAATTTATAAAACAGTTATGTTCCAGAAGTTTGTAAATCTATTATTATTTGGAGTACTTTGAGATCTTTCTACGATAACTGACTTTAGATGCTGGTTGGCTCTCAGTGAAAGGGATAAGAAGTCTTTGGGTTTTATTGGTGTGTTTGGTTATTTGTAAGCTATTCACAGGAATATTGTGTTTTTCAGAATGATAGGACTGACAGTTGGATTTGACAAAAAAGATATGATGGATGTAAAGTATAAGAAAATCAGAGATGGTTGGATGTCTGATGTAGTCCTTCAAGAAACATATATTTGTGCAAGTGTGGAATTTCTTCTGACAGTTGCAAATGTATTTCTTGAAGCCTACACCACAGGCACTGCTGTAGAAACCAATGTTCAAGCATGGGCTGCTAAGGAAGAAGGTTAGTTATTAACTAAAATATTTAATATCTATGTTAATCAAGTGTTTACAATAGCACTTACCTTGATTAGCTTTGTAGATCAGCAATTTTCAACCTGCGTGCCACAAGAATTTTTAAAACATGAAATACCTGACTATTTAATCAGGGGCACTGACCTCTTTTCTCTTAAATTGTCAAGTAAAAAAATGACAACAGCCAACATATCAATCTCCGTTTGATACGAATGAATCAAAGTTATTTCCTTTTTTTTTGTCAGATTGGCAAAAAATATTTGATATGCTACAGAATTCTAGTTTCTAGTTTATGAGATGAAAAAGGTTGAAAATAGCAGTTCTAATCGACGAGGTTAAATGAATTAATAAATTAAAATTTTATTTTTAAGAGGAAAATGTGCTTTCTGCTGGGATGTGCAGTTTCCATATTTTTCAAGGAGTAAGTATATATTGGGTTCAAAAATTAATGAGACCTGTATTAGAATAAGTACTTGTACTTAACTTCAGACAATCATTTGAAAGAATTTGTTGGAAGAAAACCTGCAGGGAGAAATAATGAACCAACCACTTATTTTCATTATTAAAGATAGTATTTCAACTTAAAACATTCTTACTTTTTGTTTTATTTATAGTTTTCTACTGTCTTTTAAATTTTTATTTGTGGTGCAGTGGAAAGAGTATCATGTTGAGAGTTAGAAACTGGGTTAGTTTTCAGCTCTGCTATGGTGGAGATTTTCCCCCACATTTTTAAATGTACTTATGACTCTCTTCTTCAAATCTTACATTATAGATTTCTTTGGGATCTAAGATGCCTTTAGTTTTTACTTAGAATGAAAATAACATTTTCCCATAAATAATACATTTTTCATAAAATATGTAGCAAAGATTTATAAATATTTTAAATTATTTTTATTTCTATTTTAGTACCTGCACAGATACAAGAAAAGTGGGAAGTGAATATTCTTATTAAAAATCCTGAAATTGTGTTTGTGGCTGATATGACAAGAAATGATGCTCCTGCCTTAGTCATTACAACACAATGTGAAATTTGTTGCAAGGGTGACCTTGAAAACAATACAATGACTGCTGCTATTAAAGATCTCCAAATGAGAGCATGCCCATTTCTTCCTGACAAGAGAAAAGACAGAATCACTACTGTGAGTTTACTATTTAGTTATCTGTTTTGTATTTTGTATATACCACTTTAGGAACCTACCTACAGACTTTCTAATCTTTCTTTATAAAGTACTTTTTTTTGTTTTTTGGCGAGCCTAATCTAGATTATTATTTTACCACTTCGAAACTTTTTTTCATTCTTCCAGTTGTTCCTCATTTTTTTTATGTATTTGTGGGCATAGTCTCACTAAGAAGCTGCCTTCATCTTCACTTTTTTTGAGACCTTACTCGCACATACTATTCTTGTCAGTTCCACACTGCTCTTTTGCCTTGAAAACTATCTACCACTTGTTTGAGATGTTGTTGCAATTTTGCCATTTTTTCATATTTTTCTCCCATCTGGACCCTTTTCCTTTGATGTATGTGTTTGCTTTTCTCCATGCAATGTATTTGAACGTTAGCCATTTGCTTTGAAATACTTCCCATTTGTATATTACTCTAGCAACTTCATGACTTTCCTCCTCTTCATAACTGATTAAAATTTATTTCTTCAGAGACATCTTTTCAAGTTAACTATCTGACTCCTAGTACTCTTATAAAACACTTATAAAAATGTTTAGTCTTTTATAGGAATAATAGAAGCATAAATGTTCTAAAAATTATCAACATAGAAATGTAAGCTATAATTCTCTAGTTTGCAAGGCTGATGGCTCATCACTAAGAAAAGAGAGGATATAGAAAACTGAGGGCATACTGATTCCCTTTTAGGTGAATACTTAGACATTTTATATATTTCTTCTACTCACATCATTTGGCATGAATGTAGCTAGGTGATCATACTTATCTGCAAAAACAGCTGGAGAATGTGTTCTTCTTCTCCTTCCTCCTCCTCCTCCTTCTTCTTCTTTTTTTTTTTTTTTGCGTTATTTTGTGCCCAGATAAATCTTGTATTAATTACTGTGGGGAAAAAAAAGAACAGATATCAAGACAACCAGAGGTTCTTCCCACAGTTCACTAAATGTTTTATTCCTTTGTCCATACTGATAATCCATGCTTGTCTTTTCTCACCTCCACCTCAAGGGTTACAGTCTCAGCTCAAAATCCAGGATCTTTAGATGATAATTTTCTTTGTTGAGTCTGTATGTGATTTCTCTGGAGAAGTGTAAATAGGGGAGGCTTGTCAGGTGAAGTGACTTTTATGCCAGTGCCTGAAAGATGAGTAGGTATTAGCCAGCAGAACTGAAACAGGAGGCATGGGAATGTGTTTCAGGATGAAGATATAACATGTGCAGAGAACCTGGGTTCCAGAGAGCACAAGTTCCCACCCCATATCTACTCACCTACCAACATCTACACTTATATACTCTGACTTTTTCTCATTATTCTGTGGTTCTCAACTTGGGGCAGTCTTCCCATCACCAAGATAGTGTTTGTAAAGTAGGGAATGTATAGTGTGCTCTTATAGGCTTCTATAGATGTTGGATAGCCCAAGATTGCTTCTTTGAAGGGGAAGCAATAGCAGCAGGGAAATAATGCATTAATAGTGAAAATCATAATACAGGAGCTGTATGGTGAGAATTAGAGTAGAAAGGAAAAAAAAAGTAACACTAAATTTACAATGGATGTAGTTGGAGACAATAAAATAATACTAGTAGGGAAATAATTCCATTTTAAGATAATGTTTCTACATCTTCAGTTGATCTGAATAGACTGTATTGTATACAACTTGACTGTAGTGTAGTTTTGTCACTAACATGTTGGATCAGCTGCATTTAAAAAAATACATTTTTATTGACTTCAGAGAGATGAACAGAAAGGGAGAGACAGAAACATCAGTGATGAGAGAGAATCATCAGTTGGTTGCCTCCTGCACACCCCCTACTGGGGATCAATCCTGCAGCCCGGGCATGGAATTGAACCGTGACCTCCTGGTTCATAGGTTGATGCTCAACCAAAGAGCCACACTGGCCAGACGATCAGCTGCATTTTTAATCCTAGGGAACTTAATTAGACTTGAAAATAAAGGAGTTGGATAAGGAACAAAACAAACGTTCATACTTATTTTGGGAAGGGAGTTAGAAACTTTTTTATGTATTTATAATAGTACTTTTTGGTTTTGTTTTTTGCCTTCCCTAAGATGAAGATATAACACAAATTTTATGTTGGAAGTTGTGGATTATGTATTGTAATATGGTTATAATTTCCTATCCCTGAAGTTTCAAGAAATAATATATTGAATATGTAAGTCATGTACTAGTTGCTCTTGCTGATTTATTAGAACAATAGTGAATTTTAATGTGATTTTATGGAGAATGAATGTGGTTATCATATTTGTTCTTATTTATTTTTCACTTTTAATATAAGCAGAATTCTAAAATGGCCCTGAAGATTTCTACCTCCTGTTGCATGTGCCCAGTGTAGTCTGCTCCCTTTGAGTGTAGATAGGATCAGTGAATATAATTAGGTTACTAATCAGTTAATTGGGTTATCTAAAGAGAGATTCTGGATGGGCCTAACCTAATTTTTAAAATCCGGGCATTGAAGAAGTAAGCTGCCATACTGTGTGGAAAGCTGCATGGCAAGAACCTATGAGCAACTTACTAGTAGGTGTCAAAAGCAGTCTCTGGCTGACAGCACAAGCCAATGGAGATCTCAGTTTTAGGGCCACAAAGAAATGAATTCTACTGACAGCCTGAATGAGCCTGGGAGCAGATCTTTTTCAGTCAAGCCTCAAGATAAAGATGCAATCGGCTGATAATTGATTTCAGCAAGATTCCTGACCCATGAAAATGAGGAAAAATAAATTAGTATTGTTTTAAGCCACTAAGTTTATGGTACTTTGTTACTCAGTAATAGAAGAATACAGATTTTTTTAAAAAAAATATATATTTTATTGATTTTTTACAGAGAGGAAGGGAGAGGGATAGAGAGTTAGAAACACCGATGAGAGAGAAACATCAATCAGCTGCCTCCTGCACACTCCCCACTGGGGATGTGCCCGCAACCAAGGTACATGCCCTTGACCGGAATCGAACCTGGGACCTTTCAGTCTGCAGGCCGATGCTCTATATCCACGGAGCCAATGCGGTTAGGGCAAGAATACAGATTTTTTTTTTGTTTTTTTACCAGAAATAAGATGTAGCAATTATTTAAAATGAGGGAGCATCTTTGGAACTGGGTAGTATGCAGAATCTGGAGGAATTTTGCATAGAATGATAGAAAAAGCCTAACTTGTGTTGATCAGACTTTTGGTAGAAACATGGTCTTTGAGGACACTGCTAACGAGGACTCAGAAAGAAGGTAAAAGACATATTATTGGAAACTATAGGGATGGCTTTATATGTAGTCCCAGAAAGCTTTGAAAAATGGTGTCTTGAACCCCCAACATTCTACTGGCAGGAAGCAGGAGGATAAAAAAGCAACTACTCAGCTGTGTATTTGTGCTACCTTTTATAAAGAAGGAAGAATGACTCAGGGTAGAGCTGAGAGCCACAGATAATTGTTATTAGGCTTTGAAACCTAATCAAGAAACATATTTTCTTGGCTGGATTTCAGAACTGCTTTGGACAAGTGACTCCTTTTTACCTTCTATTTTTCCAACTTGATTGGAAATGTCTGTAATTGTTATCCTATGTCTGTCCCACCATTCTGTGTTAGGAATGGTGGGGGCAGATAACTCATCTTAGTTTCACAATTCCATAAAGGGAGAGAAATTGTGCCCTAGCAGCTACACTTAATAGATTATACCCAGGAATTTCATCAGGACCTGGAGCTGATTCAGTTTTAGACTTTGAGCTGGTAAGAAATAGATGAGATTTTGGATTTTTTAATCAATGAGAGCTATAGATGAGATAGAGGTATGATGAGATACAGACTTAGAAAATGTGATTTTGGACTTTGAGCTATAATGGAATGAGACTGTTAGGAACCTTAGGAGGAGGTGAATATATTTTGTGTTTGAAAGGAATATGGTGACTGGGTGCTAGAGGGTAGAATCCTGCTTACCACAGTTAAGAAAAACTCAGCTAATTTATAACTGCATTAAGAATTATTAATAAATCTAATGTATTTATAATTTTTACATCTCATCTTTTATAGCTTTTTCTGTATAGATTAATTTATTTCATTGTAATTTTTTTAAAAATATATTTTATTGATTTTTTACAGAGAGGAAGGGAGAGAGATAGAGAGTTAGAAACATCGATGAGAGAGAAACATCGATCAGCTGCCTCCTGCACATCTCCTACTGGGGATGTGCCCGCAACCCAGGTACATGCCCTTGACCGGAATCGAACCTGGGACCTTTCAGTCCGCAGGCCGACGCTCTATCCACTGAGCCAAACCGGTTTCGGCTCATTGTAATTTTATAATGGAAAAGATGCCATGATAAAATTTTTGTTCTAGTAAGTAAAATGAAATATATAATACACATTTTACATATTTCTATAGTTACGAATATTCAAGAAGTCCTACATATTGTTTTATTAATACTGCTCATATTAATACTTGATATTATAATGAGTAAATAAAGAGAAGTAAGAAGTGTGTTATTGAGTCACTTATTTTTCAACAGTTTTGAATAACTTGTCTATTTAATATAGTTAGCTATTACTAGGAAAGCCTTTAAATAAAACTATTTTAAGAACAATGGTAATTTAGTGTTACTGATTTTTCTCATAGGTTTTGCAGCCCTGTGACTTGTTCTATCAAGCTACTCAGATAGGCAGAGATCCACAAGTGATTGATATATCACTAAAATCGCTGACACTAAAGGTAAGTTAAAATGTCAGTCATTTAGATCTTTAGTGAACTTTTAAAAAAATTAATAAACTAGAAATAAAGTTATTACAGCAATTCTTTTAATTGTTAAGTAAGCAAAAAAGAAGCTATGTTTTAAAAATCTCTATATATAAAAGCCTAATATGCTAATTGTTCCTCCGACTATTCGACCACTCGCTTTGACGTGCACTGACCACCAGGGGGCAGATGTTTAGACCGGTAGGTTAGCTTGCTGCTGGGGTCCAGCCAATCGGGACTGGGCGAGACTGGCCGGTCATGCCCTGGAGCCCTCCCACGGTCCCTCCCCAGCTGGCTGGCCCTGATAGGCCCTGATCAGGACTGGGCAAGATGGGCCGGACATGCCCTGGAGACCTCCCACAGTCCCTCTCTGGCCCCAATTGTGCACCAGTGGTGTCCCTTGGCCTGGTCTGCACCCTCTTGTAATCCAGGACCCCTTGGGGGATGACAGAGAGCCGGTTTCAGCCCAATCTCCACAGGCCAGGCCGAGGGTCCCCACCTGTGCAGGGAATTATATTTGCGGTTTCATGGTAATAATATTATTATTTCAACATTAATTATGATTCTTCAGCAAATATATTTAAATGTCCTTGAAGTATGTATTTTTAAAAGCTGCATAAGTAGATTTTTTATTAGTTTAAATTTTTTTTCCTTAGGTTTCACCAGTTATCATAAATACTGTGATTACCATAACTGCAGCACTTTATACAACTAAGGAAACCATCCCACAAGAAACTGCTTCTTCTACAGCACATTTATGGGAAAAGAAGGATACAAAGACTTTAAAAATGTGGTTTCTTGAAGAACCAAATGAAGTGAAAAACATAGCTCCCACAACTGAATTGGTACCCAAAGGAGAGATAATAAAAATGAATATTGATTCTATTTTTATAGTTCTTGAGGCTGGGGTTGGTCATAGAACAGTGCCTATGCTTTTGGCAAAATCATGTTTTTCAGGGGAAGGCAAAAACTGGAGTTCCCTCATAAATCTCCACTGTCAGCTTGAGCTAGAAGTAAGTAAATATAGTATTTTTTCTAGATTTTATAACAAATAATGATACATATGGAATATTTTTAGAATCTTTAAATATTTTTAGAATCTTTAGAACTTATTTGGTGATTTTAGGTTGGAATATACATGGGCCCTGGATCTGTGAATCCTAAAAAGAGGTAGATGTTATTGTTTCTCATGAGTTCTGGGTTCTAGTGGCACTGTTCTGCAACTATTGTTGGACTTTTTAAGTCCCTGATTTTCTGTTCTTTATTTATAGCATGACCATCAGTGTTGTAACAAAACATTGTTGAACAAAATGTTATTTGAGGCCCTATTGTACTTTAACTTTAGACCACATGTCCACACTGAGTTTATATTTCAGTTGATTTGATCAATTTAAACACGATACATTAATAGATTGTTGTTGATTAGATTCAAAATTCTTGTTTTTAGGAATTTAATGGAATACATTTCTTCCTTTAAAAGAAAAATAAACTATTTCTGAATCTCTTCTAAAAGAGTAATATAAAGAATTAGGAGATGTCTTATACTTTTATATAATGCATAATCTTTACACTGTAGTGAGAATCCACTTAGATCTTTAAATTTTTTGTATTTTATATAAAAAAATTTGCTTTGAACCAATGTACATTTTGCTTCAGAATTTATCTATATAGAATCATCCCCAAAGCTACTTTGGTTTAAATTATTAATCGAGTTTGTCTAGTGGAAACTAATCTGATAATCTACCCTTATCAAAAAAATATGGAGATTTATAAGCTGCTATATTATTTGTATTAATACAGTTATATATTAATAGAGGTAGATATGACTGACTAGATTATAGCTGTTCAAATTTTGGCTAGAGTTTTGTATACTTTCCAGAGATTTAATCTAGGATGTCCAGAAGGTTCAAAGAATTCAAATAAATAAACACTCATTGAATCGTGTGTTACTTGTTTTCGAAAAATCAGTGGAGGCAGACAGACATGTTAAAAAATTTCAATTATATATGATAGAGGAACACAGTCTTTTATGTTTAGCCTGGCCTGGAAGTTAAGGAAACATGATTAAAAGAGAGTTTTATCAGGATTAAATTATGGAAGCTAAATTATTATGTTAATCAGGCGAGGAAAGTGCTGAGGGAGTGAATGTAGGAAACTAATGAGTGGCATGGTTTTTATATAGGAGAAATAGCACAGCCAAAAGGAATGGTAGTACTAAACAACATGGAAGATCAGTTTAGCAAATTCCAGAATGCCTTATTAAAAAAATTAAAAATTCTCATTATAGGTGCATTATTACAATGAAATGTTTGGTGTATGGGAACCTTTGCTTGAACCTTTAGAAATTGACCAGACTGAGGAATTTAGACCATGGAATCTTGGAATCAAGGTATATTTGAAGTCAAAAAATTATTTTAAAATTGAGGGTATCTACACCATACCAAACATACCAATTTCAATCTCAACAAAGTTCAACATTTTTCATTATTAGCCTTGCTGTATGCTTCCCTGTTTGACCTGTGCATGTAATTTTCAAACCCAAGGCCAGTGCCCTCCTGTGCTTTTTCAAATACAAATAATTATGTAATATTTATTATGTACTAGACACCTAAGTGATGTACTTTTGCTTTCACTCTTACAACAAGTGTCTGAAGACTGTACAATTTCTAACTTCATTGTAACATGTGAAAGGACTGAGACTAGAAAGGACTTCACTAAAGTAATACCTTTAAAGTGGGGTGCGAATCTGGCTGCAGAGGCCCTACTCATATTAAAATGCTGCTAGCCTCTTGTAGGTTGCTGTTTAACCCATGTTTCCTTTGTCTCTGAAGGATATGTATATGGAAGAAAACATATTATTTGTTTGAAATATGTTTAAAATAATTGAGTTTACGTAATCATAAGAATCAGGACCTTTAGATGGATGAAATTGTGCTTCTGAAGCAGGAGACTATGAAATAACTGACATGTTTCCTCCCTAATGACAATTCAGTCAACCTGCAGACAGATTTTCAGTGGTTTAAAGTCAATTAAAGTAACAACAAAGGTGACCAGCTTGGCATGTCCAGCTTTTGGTATTGGATCACTGCATTTGATTTTCCGCATATTTCAGACAAAGGATTTACTAGTAGATAAAAGAACTTATTTGGTGATTTTAGGTTGGAATATACATGGGCCCTGGATCTGTGAATCCTAAAAAGAGGTAGATGTTATTGTTTCTCATGAGTTCTGGGTTCTAGTGGCACTGTTCTGCAACTATTGTTGGACTTTTTAAGTCCCTGATTTTCTGTTCTTTATTTATAGCATGACCAATAGACTAAATAACTTTTCTCACTCTAAATTTTCATTTGCTATGAAGTATGTGCCTTTCATTTTCATTCTGATGCCACATGCATTTAGTAATTTTGGTTTGTTTTTTTCCCCCCTTCTAAAATGTGCTTGTCATTTTAGTATCACTGAGGATGAGAAGAATTCTTCCCCTAATACTGCTCTTGTGCTAGGTGACCTTATTTGGTTGATTTCCAAGTAATTCCAATAAGACAGTGGAACTGATAAACATTTTTGCTCTCTCTAATGTTACTGGGATTTATCTAAAGTTTGTTTTTCCTTTGCAAAATGAGTTATGTTGTGCTTCCAGGAACAAATTTTCCTTATATTTCTGTAATTTACATGTCATTTTAGATGAAAAAGAAAGCAAAAAAGGCTATTGTTGAGTCAGATACTGAAGAAGATTACAGAGTGCCAGAATATAAAACTGTCATCAGTTTCTATTCAAAAGACCAACTAAACATTACATTATCCAAATGTGGTCTTGTAATGTTAAATAATTTAGTCAAGGTAAGAAAAGACATTTGAAACTTTAAATGTGGCTGTACTACTCTGAGTTAAACCCTTCTCTTTTCTTGAATAAAAGTTTTTTATTAACTTAGTTTTTTGTCATATGTTCATTAGTGTTGTGCTTGTCATTTGGTTTTCCACATTTCATTTTATTTTACTTACGATAACTCTACCTTATTAGGCATTTACAGAAGCTGCCACTGGATCTTCAACTGTCTTCATGAGGGATCTAGCGCCATTTATGATTTTAAATTCTCTTGGACTTACCATCTCTGTTTCACCAAGTGATTCTTTTAGTGTGCTCAACGTTCCAGTGGCAAAGTCATATATATTGAAAAATGAGGAAAGTTTAAGTATGGATTATGTCCGAACAAAAGACAATGATCATTTCAATGCAATGACCAGCCTAAGCAGCAAACTTTTCTTCATACTTCTTAGTAAGTGATAAATTACCTTCCTAGGGCTTTCATTTCTTTTAAGTTATATTTTATATTCCATTTTACTCATTTCTGATATCTTACACGTTTTTTATCTCCTTCCTAATAGGTTGGAAATTTTGTTTCTTTGTTTGTAGGACTTTCATTGCTATTGTCACTATATTTTTGTATTCCAAATTCTAACTTTCTTTATTCACTGCTTTCTTTAGAGCATGGTAATTTACTGCTTTATATTTTGGGGAAGAAAAATATCAGATCTCATTCTTAGTGCTGCTGAATGAATTCAAAATGAGGTTTGAATTTATGGAAATGACACATTTTAATGGTTATGGGTTTGTAAATGGTTTTTATGTTATGCTTATTGAAGTGGAATTTTTTTTTTTTGGTCCTTTCTGATTCCCAGAAGTTTTGCATTTTCATAGAAGTGAAAGCAAATAAATTCTTAAATTATCACTATAGCCCTAACTGATTTGGCTCAGTGGATAGAGCGTCGACCTGCAGACTGAAGGGTTCCAGGTTCGATTCCGGTCAAGGGCATGTACCTTGGTTGCAGGCACATCCCTATTAGGGGGTGTGCAGGAGGCAGCTGATTGATGTTTCTCTCTCATCGATGTTTCTAACTCTCTATCCCTCTCCCTTCCTCTCTGTAAAAAATCAATAAAATATATTAAAAAAAAAATATTATCATTATATCTGATATACTCACAGTGAGTTAAATAGTCCCAAAGCCTCACCCATACAACTTTCTGATACTTTGACATTTAAATAGTGAAGGTGGAGCACATTTGAAAGGTTAATTAGACTTTGGGTAGGAGTACCAAAACTGATAACTAGTGCTCTTCTAGTCAAGAAATGATGCATAACAGTGGATAGGTTTCAGGTGTTGTCCAAGCAAGCATTGTCATTTAATTGTTCTTGTCAGTTTTACCTCTATTAGTTTTTGAAGTAACATTTCATGTAATGATGTGGGGGGATTAATGTAAATAATGTAAAGAATTCATCCCTCAATACAGTATATGTATGTATATTAGATAATTTGTATAAAATTTTATTTAATCAAATCCTACATGTCACAAAGTGCCACATGCTGAGAAAATTAACAATGGAAAAATTGCAGCTACCTTGGTAATTGCCAAAGATTGCCTGAAGGTATTAGGCTCTGGTTATTATAATAGCAAATCCGAGATGCTTTCTTATATTTTATAAAAATTCTTCTCATTACTTATTTTGAAAAGGCTTATGAAACTTTTTTGTTCATAAGTGTTGTTGTCTTAGGTTAAACTACTGAATGAGATTTTTTTTTCAATTAAAACAATTTTTTTTATAAAGTCTTTTGAAGGTTTTAAATAAATGTGATGGAAATGCATTGTGGTTTCTTACAGTATCTCTTTGTATACATTATGTCCATACAAAAAACTACTCTTTGTATAATCCCTTTGTATAATCTTAAATCCAAAGACTTGAGTGACTATTTATTCATAACCTTAAGAAATCATCTGATGTTTCTGATGCTTAACATCTATTTAAAATTAACATATGATGATTTACAATAAAACTTTTCAAACATATATATTCAATTTAGCACCTGCTAACCACTCTACTGCTGATAAAATTCCCTTAACAAAAGTGGGACGACGACTGTACACTGTAAGGCACAGAGAATCTGGAGTTGAAAGATCTATTGTTTGTCAAATTGACGCAGTGGAAGGAAATAAGAAAGTAACAGTTCGCTCCCCAGTGCAGGTATGAAATGATAGTTTTTGGGGGTCATATGCATATTTGTGTGCCAATAAAAAACAAAAGTAAAATAAAGCAAATTGCTACCAAAAGCATACAAATTATAGTAGCAGTATAACTAATATCAAAAAGAAGAAACATTACCAGTAATTGTACTACTCTAATATGAGCAGTGATAGGAGTTTGTTCAATATACTTACAATTTTTGTATAAGACTATTTTGTAAAATCTTTTTATGGAGTATTTTGTAAAAAACTACAACTCATCAATATTTTGTTTGGGATCTTTATAGTATGTATATATCCTTTTGTTTAGCAAATATGGTGAGAGAAAATTTATATCTATAATAATAAAAGCGTAATATGCTAATTAGACCGGACGACCTTCTGGACGAAGCTGGGGCTGCGAAGGACGCCTGGGTCCCAGGTGCCTGCCAGCGGCTGGAGGGAAGCCTGGGTCCCGGTTGCCAGAGGGAAGCCAATGCTGGCAGCCAGGGCAAGGCAGGCCTACTCTTGCATGAATTTCGTGCATCGGGCCTCTAGTAGATTTAATGAGGTAAAATTGATGTACAATAAGTTGCATACACTTAAAGTTGAGTTTTACACAAAAATACACCTATAAGATCTTTATCATAGTCAAAGTAATTAACATATTTATCTCACCAAAATGTTTCTTCTCTCTCTACTTCCCCGTTCCCAGGCATGTTCTCATTGTATTTTAGTTACACAATATAGAATTTATGTAACTGAAATGGAGTACAGAATGGAGTCTTGCTTCTTTTACTAGGCATAATTTTGTATGTGTCAACTTTTATTATTAATGTTGTTATTGCAGTTGCATATTGTTGGGTAGTAATAGATATACCACATACCATTTTGTCTATGATATGAGGAAAGAGTTGAAGTTCACTTTTTTCCAATATGTCTGGCTAATAAGTTCCATCCAAGATGATTACTTTTCCATTAAATAGCTTTGACACTTTTGTCAAACATAAACTGACCGTATCTGTGTGGGTTTATTTCTGAATTCTCTATTCTGTTTTATTGCTCTGTTTATCTTCATGCTAATGCCACACTGTATTGATAATACTAGTACTTTACTCTGAATTTTGAAATCAGGTAGTACAAGTTGTGCCGCTTTGTTCTTTTCAGAGTTTGTTTGGGCTATTAGTCGTTTCCTTTTCCATTTTACTTTTAGACTCTGATTTTCAATTTTTATTCAAAATTTTGGATAAAGACGAAATTTTTGCATATTAATTTGATTCTTCATTGCTAGGGGAAGTACAGTTACTTTTTAATATGTACAGTTACTTTTTATATTAACTTGTGCAAACTTACTATTTGCACATTTTAGTTTTAGTGGCTTTTTAATATGTTTACTTATGGTGTCTTAAAGACATTTGTACTTTCTCCTTTCTAACCTAGATGCATATTATTTTATTTTTTTGCCTGTTGTGCTGGCCAGAACCTCCAGTTCAATTTGAATAGGAATCATGAAAGCAGACATTTTTGCTTTGTTCTCAATTTTAAGGGGAAAGTACCCACTGTTTTACCATTGAGTATGTTTTGAGGGATTTTGTTTTGTTTTGCCTTTTTTGTGTGTGTTGGTTGGTTGGTTTGTTTTGTAGTTACCCTTTCTCAGGTTGAAAATGCTCCCTTCTAATTTGGTGAGAATTTTTCTCATGATTTTGTCAAATTATTTTCTGTATTTATTGAGAGGATCTTTTTAAAAATATTGTTAATATGGTAAGTTATGTTAGTTGAGTTTTAATTGTTATCCTATATAATAAAAGGCTAATATGCAAATCAACCGAAGGGCAGAACAACCAGTCACTATGACTCGCACTGACCACCAGGGGGCAGATGCTTAACGCAGGATGTTTAAGTCAACCTTGCATTGCCAGTGTAAATCCCAGTTATTCATGAAGTATTATTAACCCTTTGATGCATTGTTAGTTTGATTTGCTAAACCCATGTTCATAGTTTTTGCATGTATGTTCATGAGGAATATTGGTGTAGAGTTTTCTTGTAACATTTTTCTTCTGTGAAGGTTTTTAAATATAGTTTCACTTTATTTTATGAGTAAGGGCCATTCAGAATATTTGTTACTTCTTAAGTGAACTCTTCTAGTAATTTTGTCTCTCTCATGAAATTTGTCCATGAATTGTTTCCATTTTTATTTCACTTTTATGTTTTAAGTTATTTTTACCAGGTATAGAAATACAGATTGATAGGTTAATTTTTTTTCATACTTTTAAGAAGTTATTCAATTGTTGACTGGATTACATTGTTTCTAACCAGAACTTGCTGTTATTTTTTATCTTTTTAAATTTTTATTTTATTGTTGACAGTATTACAGATGTCTCCCATTTTCTCCCTTTTTGCCCACTTCCATCCATTCCACTTCCATGCAAGGCCTTCCCCTGCTATTGTCTGTGTCCATGGGTTATGCATATATGCATAAATATTCTTTGGTTAATCTCTTCCTGGCTCCTCCCCCTAACCCTGATATTTTTTATCTTTCCTGTTTTAGAAAAGTGTTGATATTTTCTCTATATACATTTAATATTTTTGCCCTTTATCACTGTTTTTAAGTAATTTGGTTGTGATGAATCTTAGTGAAGTTTACTTTCTGTTTCTTGTACTTGGATTTAAGTATTTTGAATGTATGGATATATACTTTTATCAATTTTAAAAAGCTTTTTTTGTCATTTTTTTTCTTCAAATACTTTTTCTCTCTTTCCCCTCTCTTCACTTCTTCACTGACCATTATTAGTGTTTAAATCTGCCCCACAGCTCACTAATGCTCTATTCTTCTTTATTTTTTTAGTTTTTTCCCTGTGTTCATTTTGATAATTTCTATTGTTATGTCTTAAAGTTCAGTTTTCTTTTTCAATGTCCAATCTTTTCTCATTTACACCCAATGTATTTTTATCTCTAGAATTTCAATTTGCATTTTTATGTATATTTCCCATGTCCTTTATTCATACACTCAGTATTTCCCCTAACTTTGAACATGTTGAATATATATATATATAAAAGCTTAAGTGACCATTGCAACCGATTGGACAACCGAACAGGTTGCATGGGGCGACTAGGCCCGCAGGGGGGTTAGTGAGGGACGACCAAACAACTGAGCAGCAGATTGCGTGGGGTGACCAGGCCGGCAGGGGGATTAGTGGGGGTGATCAAATGACCAAGCAGCAGGCTGCGTGGGGCGACCAGGCGGGCAGTGGGGGGCAGTGAGGGGCGACCAGGTCAGCAGGGGGGCAGTTAGGGGTGATCAGGTCGGCTGGCACAGGTGGTTAGGGGTGAACAGGCTGGCAGGGGGGCCAGTTAGGGGTGATCAGGCAGGCAGGTTAGCAGTTAGGAGCCAGCGGTCCTGGATTATGAGAAGGATATCCGACTGCTGGTTTAGGCCTGAACCTTAGGATCGGGCCTAAACCAGCAGTCGGACATCCCCCAAGGGGTCCCGGATTGGAGAGGGTGCAGGCTGGGCTGAGGGGACTCCTGCCCCCCCCCCCCAATGCACAAATTTCATGCACCGGGCCTCTGTTAGTTACATAAATGTTGTAATGTCCTTGTCTACTAATTCTATCATGTGTATTATATCTGATTTGTTTCCTTTTATTTATTTATTTTTAAAATATATTTTTATTTATTTCAAAGAGGAAGGGAGAGGGAGGGAGAGAGAGAGAGATAGAAACATCAATGATGAGACAGAATCATCCATCGGCTGCCTTCTGCACACCCCACATTGGGGATTGAGCCTACAACCTGGGCATGTGTCCTAACCAAAAATCGAACCATGACCTCCTGGTTCATAGGTTGATGCTCAACCACTGAGCCACTCCAGCTGGGCTGTTTCCTTTTATTAATATTTATTTCATTAACATTTATATGTATCTATTTTTATTGGATACCTAAAATTGTGAATTTTACCTTGCTTGAAATATAATTAATATTTCTTTTTGTATTCTTGAACTTTATTCTCCAATATAGTTATGTTACTTGGAAAGTAATCCTCTCAGTCCTTATTTTTAAACTTTTTAGGTGGGATTCAAGCAGGCTTTTAGTTCAGGGCTAATTTTGTACCATTAGTAAGTCACTGCAACTAATACCTTCTGTACTAAACAAGGTCATTTGAAGAAAAAAATGACAAAAAAAGCTTTTTAAAGTTGATAAAAAGTATATATATCCATACATCCAAACAACTTTGGTTGGTGAGAAAAGAAACTATGTGTCAGCACCAGAAATTGTTCTGCCTGCCCTTTTTAGGTAGATCTTTACCAATCCTTAGAATCCCGAGATTTAAGAGTGTGCCCTACTCTCAAGACTTCAGTTCAGTACTGATTAGCACATTCACAGGAGTAAACTGTCTAAGGCAGGAGGGGGGGCACACCTGGCCCACGGGCCTTATAAGGCCTGCAAAATCATTTGGTCTGGGCCTGCCAAGGCATTAGGGGTGAGTTAATTAAATGTGTGACCAAATACAGCAGGCTAATTTTTAAGTTGATAAGTTTGTATGGCCTGCGAATGATGTTATAAATATCCAAATGGCCCTTGGCTGAAACAAGGTTTCCTCCTATGCCTTAGATAGTTTACTTAGCTCTGTTTGACTTCTCCTTTCTTACACAGTAGCTTCAAAACTATCCAGGCAGCAAGCTGGAGCAGTTTTAGGGCTTTTCTTGCTGGATTTTGTTTTTATTTTTATTTTCTCTGCTGCTGTCTAACCAGTGTCTGAAAATCATTGTTTAGTTTTTAGGTTGAGAAGGTATATCTGGTCCCTATTATTCCATTATGGCTGAAAGCATAAATTCCTTTTCTTTCATTTATGATTTATAATTAACTGTTTTTTAAGATGACTGTGGGGCTGTCCTTGTTGATTTTTAAAATTTCATTAAGTAGTTAAACATTAATTTTAAGTTTTATATAGGTATTTTTAGAAATCAAAATGTATTTCTATTTGTGACTAGGTGGAGCAAACAATATATATAAAAATAAAATATAGTGAATTTAAGACTCCATTTAATCTTAGTTTTCAGTATGATTTTTTTAAATTAGAGGATATTAGTAAGATATAGAAGGATAAGAAATTATTCTTAATAACCAGTTTGTTTTTATCTATCCAAAGATAAATATAACTGTTTGTAGGTTTATCTTCTATTTTTAGGATAATAATTACATGTTTACTTCTTTTCTTAATTATATAAGCAAGGTAAATATTGCTTTGATCTTTTGTTGGGGTGTTTATGTGGAATATATTTTAAATGTCTTTAGTTTATTGGATTAATGATACTAAATATTATTATTTTTCTTTCCTAGATTAGAAATCATTTCTCAATCCCACTTTCTGTTTATGAAGGGAATACTTTATTGGGAATGGCTTCACCTGGAAATGAATTTAACATACCATTAGCATCTTACCGGTGATTCTTTTTATCTACTTGTTTGCTCTACGTCTCTCATAGAGTTTTTAGTTTCTGATTTGGTAGGGATAGATATCTTTAAATTATCAAACTTTCATAAAATCTTTCCTGTTACTATCTGACCCTATATGACTTATATAAGTTTCAGGGCACTTAGGAGTGTTTTTAAAAGAAATATTATTTAATGTATTTATTTTATACCATATAAATTATTTATGCTTTACCAGTAAATGAAATTATTACATGCTTGCAATATAGCCATTATAACCATAATCTTCTATGGGGTGGGCAAAAGTAGGTTTACAGTTTTGAGAATGCAAAATACAGAGTTCATTCTTACATTATTACTTATTAATTATTGTATTACTTTTCATATGAACAACTATAAACCTACTTTTGCCCCACTTTGTATATTCACAACTTTAAAAAAATATCTAATTGTGTATAATTGGTGGTTTCTGGATTTACATATACTGTTATGAAGTGATTTTTACTTTTTAAAGGTTTCTAATAAACTTTTTTTGGAATTCCTTTAGAAAACAAAATATTGCACATTTATCTGTTGATTATTTTAGAATTTTAATCAGTTTTAAATATTTAAAGTAACTTGACTAAACTTGATGTAAAATCTTATATTAAGAAAGGATATATTAAAATTGTAACAGAATACTAATGATGGGCTAGTTTCATAATTATAGGTTTAATATCATAACAAACAAGTATTATTGTTCAGGATATTTAATTTGGAATTGAAAATTTAAAGCAAGGAAAAATGGAGATTTTGGAAAATAAATCCTTCCTCAGAATAAGCATCATGGTTGTCTAAGTTGCTATTCAGAACACATACTAGACATGGACACTTAGACCTATGCTACAGAAGGACGGAAACAAAATTACAAGCAGTTTAAATATCCCCTCCCTCTGTTCATCCTGACCCATGCCTAGGAGTTCAAGACTGGATCACTAATGTTTAGAAGACAATCTAGCAGTTTTAGACACATATTTTCAGGTATTAGACCTGCTCACCCTAATAAACGTTCTATTGTTTAGACCTTCTGACCATAATGAGTATTTTATTACTTAATTTGAACTTGCTGAGGGAAAAAAATTATATATTATTCAGAGAACAACAATAAAATAATTGTTTACAGTACCTGACCATGTTCTAGAGAGGATTATAGGTGGATTACAAGACTTAAGATAACATGTAAGGTATGTTTAAAAATTTCTATGAAGAACCTTAAATTCATTTTGTTTTTGGATAATATTAATGGCACTATGTTTTATTTTTAAAAAATTAGTATTACATTTTGTGACTATTTGTAGAAAAATTAAGCCATTAGATATCTTTATACCTTTTTGTTTAAAGCTAAATATTAATTTGTTACATGGAAGTTAAATCAATATTTACTAGAATCATTAGTAATTAACCAGCTTGGATTTCACATTAGGTACTCTCCTATTCCAATGCTTAGACATGGGTATACTTACATTTAAGATATGAGCTGTTAAATTAACAAATAGCTATCTTTAATTGTGGAATTTACATATGCTTATCCTTAAATTTAATTCATTTAACAGTTATTTATCAAGTCTTTTTATTGTGTATACGGCACTGCTGTAGGATAACAAGATGAATTAGCCTGGCTATTCCCCTTGGGAGATTGATATATTATGTAAATACAGAAGTAGAAAATGATGGGTTGTAGAGAGTTACAGAAAGACTTATTGTTTCAGAAAACTATGAAAAACAAAGAAGAGATTACCTAGATGAATTATAGGTAAAATATAATAATGTGGAGATTAGTGGAGAAGGACAATCTTTTTTAAAAATATATTTTATTGATTTTTTACAGAGAGGAAGGGAGAGGGATAGAGAGTTAGAAACATTGATGAGAGAGAAACATCCATCAGCTGCCTCCTGCACACCTCCTACCGGGGATGTACCTGCAACCAAGGTACATGCCCTTGACCGGAACCGAACCTGGGACCTTTCAGTCCACAGGCCAACACTCTATCCACTGAGCCAAACTGGTCAGGGTGAGAAGGACAATCTTAAGTGCAAGGAATTACATGAACAAAGATAAGGAGACATGAAAACAAAGGCTTTGTATAGGTCTATAAAGAATAGTTGGGATATGATTGGAGTGTAGTGTGCAAGTTGGAAGATTAAATTTGAAAGATAGTTTTAAGTTCACATTGAGGTAGTTGCTCCTTCATTTTCTTGCACCCATTTATATACATTTTATCTTCATCTGTAATGTCATCTGTTTCTTCCTTTCCCTCTAAGAACATTTGGCGTTCTTCCATTGTAAAACCATTCACTTCATCAATTCTTCTCATCCAGAACCTCTTGCCACTGAACATCTTTCTCTCATGTTTTCTCTTCATTTATTTCTTAGACTTTTCTTTAAACTTTCATATTTCTCTACTTCAAGTGTTTTCTTCAGAACAAAGATTTTTGGGAAAATTGTCACTTCTGCAGAATACTCTGCAGCCACCCTAGAAAAAGTTATGTGTGTAGAGTAGAAGGAAGTGTCTAATATTATTTCAGAGTCCAGAGTGCCAGTAGTTGGAAGTTCCTGGAAAAGAACACAGAGAAGTGGATATGGAGGGCTCAGAATTTAGTCTAGCAAGTTTAGGGCACCATTAGACATCATTACAGAAATATGTGTAGATATTAAGAATTTTAGGACTAAAGCTTAACCCTTTGCGGTCCAATTTTATTTTTGGAATTCAAACAGTCTGGTCCAAATTAATTGACAGGATTGAATGTTGAACCGGTTTGCGGTATGGACCTCAGCCTCGACATTGGACCTGCTCCTAGCGCCTGGTCTGTTGAGTCAGCCTTGACGTTGGACCTGCTACTAGCGCCTGGTCTGTCGAGTCAGCCTCGATGTTGGACCGAAAAGGGTTAAGAAAATAATTAGGTCTAGAGATAGTACTGACAGTCATTCATCTGTAAGGAATAGTGTCACCATAATTGATCAGTTTTACAAGTACAAAAACATTTCTTAAGTATTTATACGTGGACACAGCTTAGGTTTAAAAAATTGTTAAAACTAAAATGTACCTTAAATGTAAACAAAGACAGTGATATTTAAATTTGTGAATTAATCATATGTGATGCCTATTGATTTTGTCACTATCTTCTTGTAACCACTTCTGCAACTATGCCCAACATTTTAATAAAATTAAGTATCTATTGATAGTTTTAATTTCATTAATCTTGAAAAACTGGTGATTTTTTCAATAGAAATAATTTTTTAGTTCATGAAATTATTCATGACATTTACTTCCTATTAGGACCACATATCCAGGAAAGACAACTTCTTTAAGTTAAATGTACAAGTCAAAGATAGTTATATATGTTTGCTTTACATATGTGACCTATATGATTATGTATTTTCTGTAAGAAACCAGTTATTTTGTAAACATACTTTTTACAATTTATTTTTTAATTACAGTTGACATATATTAGTTTCATGTATACAACATAGTGATTAGACACTTATATACCTTACAAAGTGATCACTCTAGTAAGTTTAGTACCCATATGACACAATATATGGTTAATTGTAAACACACATTTAAGATAGTAAGTTTATAAGATAAATATTCTTTTAAAAGCTAAATAACTATTAATTTCCTGAAAGTTAAGATGAAGATATTTATCTATTGTCTATCTTACCTATTTCTAAGAATGTGAAAATATAAAAATATATTACAATAGTATGGAGGGAGATGATTTCACTGTTCTAAAGCTATAATCATATAATTTAATGTTTTCTTTTAAAGGATTTCAACACATCTTTTTTAATGTTTTATGCAGATCACTCCTTTTTCTGAAGCCAGAAGATGAGGACTATCAAATGTGTGAAGCAATTGACTTTGAAGAAATTATAAAAAATGAAGGCTCTTCTCTAAAGAGGCAATGTAGACCTATAAACCCGTCTAAGAAACCATTTATTATTAATATTGTCCCAGAAAAAGATAATTTGACATCTCTGTCAGTATATTCAGAAGATGGTTGGGACTTACCATACATAATGCATTTGTGGCCACCTATCCTACTCCGAAATCTTCTTCCTTACAAAATTGTTTATTATATAGAGGTATTCTGGAATTTTATTAAATATCTTTGTGTCTATGGTTTTGGTACTGGGGATAGGTAATACTATTTGGTAATACTCAAATGGAAAATAAATGTTTAATCATGCTGTGTAAAAATAGGATTTAAAAAATATTTTCCATTGATTCACCTTTGAAATTTGACTACTAAGTCGAATATAAATTACCTACACAAATGTGATATGTCATTTAGAAAATAGAGATGATAGAAATTGCCTAGACTCACATCATCTGAAGGTAGCTCTTCAGATGAAAACATTGCAGTTTTAGAATATATATTTTTCTATATTTTCTAAGCATGTACATTTCATATGTCATACATTTAAAATATGGATTCTAACTTTTGAAACAAGTATGAGAATTAGTATTAAATAATATTTAAGTACTAGACTTAAGTGGAAAAATGCTTCTACATTATATTATTCTGATAATAGGTCTCTAAAAGGATTTTATGCCCTATAATGATGCTTTTTCTTTTAAATATTCTGTTTTAACAAATTATGTCTGATTTCATCAGGATTTTAATATTACATTTGCCATGCCTATCAAATATAAGAAATATCTTCATTGTAATTTATTAATTATTGTTTTGGTCATAGTGTATTAATTATTAATTATTGGTATTTACTATATGTATACACTTCTTTGATAATTTTTTTGGAGGGTGAAGTTAACATCTATGGTTTAAGAATATCTGTTTTTCTTTATATTTGGCAGATGTTCTAGTGGTTAAGAATTTGCACTTTGCTTTCAGGTAGATCGGAGATTTAATCCTAGCTCTATTACTTACTAACTTTAGGCAAGTTATATTGTCTTTCTGAATCATTTATCCTAATTTATGAAAGGGGGATAGTAATAAATCTTGCATGATTGGGATATGGGGAAATCAAACTAGATGATATATATAAAGGATTTAGCACAGTGCCTTGTAGGTACATGATTGCCGTTCATTTACCTCTCTAACAGCACCACCACTACTATTCTATTTTGTGGATATTAACATGCCAGGTGTCAATAACTTAAATTACTTTTACTTTAACTAATTTAAAATCTTAAGATGAAGAGATTCCTGTGTTATAACAACAGGAGGGAACCAAGTTAGAGATGCTAGACAATCTGGTGAATTATCCAGGCATACTATCTATCTATGTTCCATTCTCATAGGACTTTTAATTTGATGCTTTTAGGGATCACATTCTGTTTGCTAGCTCCCAATGGATATGACCAATTTTTAGAAAGACAGGTTAGCTGTGGTATGAAGAAGGGATTAAAGGAGACAAGAGCAGTTAGGAGACTTAAAATGAGAGGACACAGTGGCAGGAACTAAGGTAATGAAAGTGGGGGTGAAGAGAAATGAATGGTTTTGCGAGATGCATAAGATATAATACTATAAACAACTAGAGGCCCGGTGCATGAATTCGTGCATGGGTGGGGTCCAGCTGGCCCACCCTGATCGGGGCCGATCAGGCCAGGCCAGCTGGGAGGAGGAGCCATGGGCAGTTGGCAGGCTGGTCCCGCCCCCGATTGGGGGGGGGACACAATCAGGGATGGGGCCAGCCAAGGGGAGGGGCTCCGAGAGGTTGGAAGGCCGACCCTGCTCCCTGGTTGAATTCTGGTCGAACTCCCAGTCGAGGGGACAATTTGCATATTACCCTTTTATTATCTACTAGAGGCTTGGTGCAAAAAATTCATGCACGGGTGGGGGGGGGTCCCCTCAGCCCAGGCTGCACCCTCTCCAATCCGGGACCCCTCTCGCAATCCAGAACCACTGGCTCCTAACTGCTCACCTACCTGCCTGCTTGATGTCCCCTGCTGGCTTGATTGCCCCTAACTGCTCTCCCCTACCAACCTGATCCCCCTAACTGCTCTCAGCTGCTGGCCTGATCCCCCTAACTGCCTATCTGCTCTCCCCTCCTGGCTTGATCCCCCTAACGGCCTAACTGCTATCTTCTCCCTTCTTCCGCAGTGCCGGCCTTCTCCCTTCTGCCTTCTCGCGCCTGCTGGCCTTCTCCCTTCTCCTGCGGCGCCAACCTTCTCACCTCCTCTCTTCTCCCGCGGCACCACCTTCTCCTTCTGCCTTCTCCCTTCTCCCTTCTGTGTCGCCTTCTCCCATGGCCTCTGCAAAAGGGACCATGGTGCTGGATCAGCCCTCACAGCTGCCATGGCTGCTGGCCCTCGGCCTTGCAGCCTCTGTGGCTTTGTCGGGAAGGACCTCTGAAAGACCTCTGGTCTAATTAGCATACTACCCTTTTATTAGTATAGATAATAATAAAAGCATAATATGCTAATTAGATGGGACAGCTGAACGACCTTCCGGACAAAGCCTGGGCTGCGAGGCTTGAGGCAAGCTGCTGCGGCTGCGAGGGCCAAACCCCTTGTACAAATTTCATGCATTGGGCCTCTACTATAGGATAATTGGAAATGGGTGATGAAGGATTGTTAACAATCAAGAATGGGACTTATTTTGGATTATTATCTCTTTTCTCATGCATTTTTCATAATTTTTTAGTTTTCAAAACTAAAATGACTAATGGATAAGATTTCATCTCTTCTCATGCATTTTCCATCATTTTTTAGCTTTCAAAACTAAAATTACTAATGGATAAGATTTTTAAAATGTTTTACTAGTTATATGTATTATAATGTTTACTAGTTCCATTAGAGTTTTACATTATATTACTTAGTTTTATCCTAACAATAGTCCTTTGAAGTTGATCATTTAGACCATTTTTGAAATATGATAGCTCATATCTCGAATAATTTACCCACAGACTTGGAGGAAATGTGAAAGTTTACATAGTTGGCAGAGTTAGAACTTGAATATAAGTCTTCTAACTTGTTCAGACAGAAGTATGTTTCAAAAGCAGTTCGTATAACATTTGAAATCCTTAAATAGAATTTTTGGCATATTTATCTGAGACATTAAAAAATTTACTATATTTACTATATTTTGTTTATTACAGGGGAATGAACATAGAGTTTTTACTCTAAATGAAGGCTCTTCTGCCCATATTTGTACCGTACAATTGGATAAAGCAATACTACATTTAAAATTACTTGACTATCTTAATCAAGATTGGAAAAGTGAATATCATATAAAACCTAATCAACAAGATATTAGTTTCATCAGTTTTACCTGTGTTACAGAAATGGAAAAGACTGATTTAGATATTGCTATCCATGTGACTTATAATCCTGGCCAGACAGTTGTGGCATTTCATAGCCCTTACTGGATGGTCAATAAAACTGGTCGAATGTTACAGTATAAAGCAGATGGAATTCATCGAAAGCATCCACCTACTTATAAAATGCCAGTTCTCTTTTCTTTTCAGCCAAAGCACTTTTTTAATAACAATAAGGTACGTAAAGTTTTTAAACTTTTTTTTTTTTAGCTATTTATCACTCCTTTTTAGATTTTAGAATTTTGAAGAATAAAATAATATGAAACAGGTAGAAATAACATTTGTTAAATATTTGAGGTTATAAAGATTAGAATTTTGTGTTGGGAAAGGTTTAGTGCATTAACAGTACAGTATTTATGCTAAGAAGCAAAATGTATAAATTTAGGTTGGAATTTTTAAAGGTACTAATGTTGTAATATCTTTGAAATATTTTTTCCTAGGTTCAGCTTATGATAACTGATAGTGAATTGTCAGATCAGTTTTCAATTGATACTGTTGGTAGTCATGGAGCTGTTAAATGTAAAGGCATGAAAATGGAGTATCAAGTGAGTTCATTCTCTGCTCATCAAGAAATTTTTATTTAAACTGTGTCTATTGACTACTTAATTTTTAAGGATGTTATGATAATGTAATAATTAATATGTTTTTCCTTAGGTTGGTGTCATTATAGACCTCAGCAGTTTTAACATTACCAGAATTGTGACATTTACCCCTTTTTATATGATCGAAAACAAAAGCAAGTATCATATATCAGTGGCTGAAGAGGGGAGTGATAAATGGCTCTCTCTCGATTTGGAGCAGGTGGGTAGATGGATTTCAATAATTTAGCTCTTAGAATTTCATTTTTCCTGGAAGTTAGATAACTGAAATTACTATGTAATGTTTTATCTTTCCATTCCCCCAATTTTATTTGTTTCATAATCATTTATTGAGTATTTGTACCAAGCCCTAGATATTTAATTATTAAAATTCAGAACTTGCCATCGAGAAATACATTTCTTGATAAGGGAGGTAGACATTTAGCAATTACTAACCAAATGGAGTCAAATAGAGCAGTAGAAGACTAGATAAGGTATTAATGCAGGAAAGAGAAGGAAATGATTTATTCTCTTCAGGAAGCTGTTAGGGCTGCCTTTAAAGAATAGATTAAGCCCGTCATTTTAAGAAGGTGGTAGTGACTTAGGAGTAAAATATTTCTATTACTCCATCTTTAGCTGTTAAACCTCTACATAAGAGCTGTCTGAAGGACTGCCAGAGGGTGATAGAATATTTTACTTTTGAAGAAATTTTATTCAAATATGTTAGGATTATAAGAGAAGTGTTTGCTATTTTTATTCATTATTCTATCTTGCTTTTAAGCCATCCTTCTTGAGTCATTCTGGTTGAGCTACTTCCTTTAGAATTTGCTTTGTGCTGGTTCTGGAGGAAAGTACCATCAGTGGGTGTTTACCCATAAAGTTTTTATCATCATCTTTCTTTTATGATGCCTTTTCTTGATAATTCTATTTTTTCTCAGCATGTTGTATATTTTACTCCACTGTTTTTTGGCTTCCATTTTTGTTGAAAATTTGGCTGTGGTTCTGTCATTTCTTTGGAGGTCATCTTTCTTTTCTCCTTAGCTGCCTTCAGTCTTCTCTTTGTGTTTGATATTTTGCAGTCATACTATTTGTCTACATGTGGGTTCCTTTTATATATACTGCCTCATATGCCTTACTGCTAGATCTGTGGGGTAACGATTTTTCATACTTTCTATAAAATTTGCAACTATTGTCTCTTTAAGTATTCTCCTGTTCATCCATTTTCTCCTTCTGAGCCTTTACTCAGACATATCCTAGACTTTCATATTCTATTTTCTCTGTCTCTTAATATCTTTTTTTCTATTTGTATAACTTTCTGTGTTATAATCTGGATAAATTCTACATATATTTTCCGTAATTTTTTACTTTTACTATGTCTAAACTGTTATTTAAACCTTCACCTGAGTTTTTTATTTGTATTTCTCATTCCCAGAAGCTCCACTTTTTTCAAGGCTGCCTGTTAATTCATTCTTTTAGCAAATACTTATTGTGTACTCCTATGTGCCTTGCGATAGTTACATCTGCTAATGAAACCACAAGTCCCAGTCTTTGTATAATTTATATTTTAATGGAGTTGTAGGGAAACATTAAATGAATAATACCATGATCAATTAGTAAAATATATAATATGTTTAAAGGTGACAGGGGAATAGAAATAAGACAGGTAAAGGAGTATTAAGAGTTATAATGAATACCCTGGCCGGTGTGCTCAGTTGTTAGAAAATCACCCAATGGACCAAGGTTCTTGGGTTCAATTCCCAGTCAATGGCATGTACCTGGGTTGTAGGTTTGATCCCTAGCCCTACCTTGGGACAGGTATGAGAGGCAACCAATCAATGTGTCTCTCTCGCATTGATTATTTTCTCCCTCTCTCTTTTTCTATCTCCTTTACCCTCCCTCCCTTCCACTCTCTCTAAAAAAAAAAGAAAGAAAACATTAGTGGAAAAAATATTCTCAGGTGAGGATTAAAAATAAAGTCACAGCGAAAAAGGGTGAGCAATAATTTTGCATAAGGTGGTCAAGGATAGGACTTATTGAGGTCACATTTGAAAGACTTGGAGGAATTGTGAGAATTAGCAATTGTTAGGAGCTCAGCTGAGCTGGAGCTAAGCAGCCAGGTATTGGAGTAGCTGATTAAGACAACAAACCAAAATGAACATAGTCAAACCTTTAATCAATCGCTTACTGAGATTGTATAAGCAAGAAGCTAAACTGGAGAAAGCCCCAACTCCCCTGTTCCATTTTTCCTATGGAACAGCATTGGTCAGGCAGGGGTCAGGTGGATCAGCAAGACACTAGGGTTGTGTCACAATCGGAGGAGCCCTGAACAAAAGGCTTTTACAGTTTTATGGACCTGTAAGATGGGGGTGAACAAGGGGAAAGGCTCGGAGTGGAAAAATCCTGAGCACTGAGTCAGAATAGAGAATATGTGTCTTCAGGGTTCCCCTTCTCACCTTGATAAAGAGGTTTTGCATAGGTTCCTAAGGAAGGCCTATGCCAAGGGCACTACAAAAAAGCCTCTGAATAAAGGTGCCTGGGGTAGGAATGCAGATATGTGTAAGAGCTTGGCTGGAGGTAGGGCTGAGTCCTTGACAATGCAATAAGCTGGCTGTGCACCTGGTCTTGTGTGGGAGGACAGCTTTTCCCTGTGAGGCCTGCCAGATTAAAAAAAAAATCACCTTTGTCATTAACTATATTCTGACCTGAAAATTACACGTAGCTTTTTAGCCAGGAGCTGGCCACTTCAGCAATGTGGGTATCTGGAAAAGAGCATTAGTGACAGAAGGATCAGCCAGGGTAGGTGCCCCAAGGTGGGAGAATATTTGGCATGTTTGAGGGAAAGCGAAGTGGCCAGTAGTACTGGAAGAAGGAAAAGTAGCAGAGGACAAGGTATAACGGTGATAAAGGGTAATTGTGCAGAACTTTCTGAGCCATTGCAAGGATTTATCTTTTGCTCTGAGTGAAATGGAGAACTGTTGGAGGGTTTTGAATAGTTAAACATAGTATGCTTTCAATAAATATTTGTTAAATAAATATAGTATTTATTCTTGTAAATGTTTCATGTGGGTTCTTGGCTTGTTGGATATAGAACTGTCTATGTATCTAATTGAAGAGATTAAAGCGGTAGCTTTGTTTTGCTTTATAGGTTTTCTAGGTATAACTTTTTCCATACTTTTATTTACAGCAGTTCTATGTCTCGATTTATGTGTCTATTGCCAGTAACATTATTGGGTCTTATCTTTTTAAAAACACATTCTATAGCCCATGTCTTTCGACAGTTAGTGTATATTTATATTAATTTTGATCACAACTGCATAACAACTTTTTTTTTAAAGAGAGATCTTGTCTTATTTTCAATTTCCCCTGTCTTAAGATATCTTTTCTTTGCTAGTTTAAAAGTCTTATATTTTAATTTTGGCTTATCGTGGCCAACCTTACCATAAGATTTATACTCATGATTATTACCTATATAGATTTGTTTAACTTATCTACATCTCTGTTTTCCCACTACAAAAGACAAGTACTTTCCTACTTTCTCTAGTCTCAAGAGGTGGAGCATACAATATTTTTAAAAGATATGCAGCATATCTTTTAAAGCATAAAAACATTTTTTAAGGCAAGGCTACCAGAAGGTAGCAGGCTAGGGGAGTTGAGAGAGCATATCAGTGCCTCAGGGGAAGTAGACTTGGATTAGCATTGCTGCTCTTTTAATTCTTCCAGGTAAGTGTCTGCTAGGTGGCAGGAAATCCTGAGGGGCACCTTTTAAGCCTCTACAGCCTTAACCATGTTCCATCTAGTTCTGTTAATCACCTTTTATGGTTGAATAAAACTGACTCTAACATGTCAGTTCTGCTACATTTTCCCAGGTCATGTGATAATCAAATATCACACATGAACAGTCTCACTGAAATACATGACGTCTCCAGTCTGGCTGGGGCTTACAGACAGTTTGCATCTCCATTCCTCTCCGTTTAGTTCTTTTTGTTTCCAGCTCCTGCTAATCCAGTCTTCTTTCTGGGTACACTAACTGTCTCCTATTCTTTCAGTTTGGTTTTCAAATCACCGATATCCAGGTAGTTTTTAATTTTCTGAGCCTGTTTCCTGTTCTGAACTTTGAATATATCTTTTACTTTTGTACCCTTGTTTGACTTCCCTGAGTCAACATTTGGGTGTACTTTGACTACTGCTTAATTACCAAGTGTTGCCCACAACTGACTGTGATTTTCAGTAACTGATCACTTGCTTCCCTTGTGCTCTCTGCTCAGCTTGTTGATTTTTCAAACCCTTCTCTAGATCTGGACCACATTAAAATTTCTGCTTATCATAGCTTTTCAGCTTACTACCCATTACTGCTTGTTTTCACACTGTCCACAAGTGGCAACCCATCTCTAAGTAGGCAGTTTATAACTGTTTAGGTAAATAACCCAGTAACCAGAGCACTGTTGAAAGAGATTTATTTTCATTTTATTTTGTTTACTCTGATGGATTTATTAAAATGATAAAGGTCTTTATGGTACAATATATTGTAGGTTCTGAAAAAAATAAATATATGTAATATATGTTTTAGTGTATTCCCTTTTGGCCTGAGGATGCTTCAAATAAACTTCTTATTCAAGTTGAAAGAAGTAGAGGCCCTCCCCAAAAGATACATTTTAACAAGCAAGAAAATTGTATTTTATTGCGTCTGGATAATGAGGTAATTAATTTGTGTGTGTGTGTGTGTGTGTGTGTGTGTGTGTGTGATGAGTTAATGTTACTAGTATTTAATTTTTTTGTATCAAATAATTTTCTCATGGTTTTTTTCCCTTTCACCAAAAATGAACAAAGATTTCTTTTTTGCGAGGGAAAAAAGTACTAAAGGGAAACAGTCATAAAACAATTTTGTTATACAGAGTTAGTAGAAGTGCCTAGAATATACATCTGGAATTTGACCCATCTATATATAATGATTGAGAGTATGGTTTCCCAGACATGCCATATAAAATAAAAATATGTTATGAAAAATTTTGTTATTAAGTGTTGTTAGTTAATATTCTTTGAAAAATGATCACATTAGAGAATATTTTCTCTTTTTTTATAGCTTGGCGGTATTATAGCAGAAGTTAATTTGGCTGAGCATTCTACAGTTATTACATTTTCAGATTATCATGATGGAGCAGCTACATTCCTATTAATAAATCACACTAAGAATGACATTATTGAATATAAGCAAAGGTAAGAAGAGGATCACTAATACAGTATCCCCTGATTTGAGCAAAGTCTAGGTGATGAGACACTGACTTTATGATGATTTCTTTTTTTAAATTAAATATATTTTTATTGATTTCAGAGAGGAAGAGAGAGATAGAAACATCAATTATGAGAGAGAATCATTGATCAGCTGCCTCCTGCACATCCCCTACTGGGGATCGAACCATGACCAGGGATCGAACCATGACCTTCTGGTTCATAGATTTATGCTCAACCACTGAGTCACACCAGCTGGGCTATTCTCATTGTTTTCTTAGAAAACCTCTTTTCCATTATATAAGGAAAAACTTTCAGTCTACTTTTAATCAGAAATATTATAAATCTCAATTAATTGACTTGGAATTACTGAACTGTATTATTTTGGGTTCTTTATTCATTTTCTTACACTTAATTTAATGCCTATTTTTACTATTTGTGCCAGTTCTCTCAGTGAAATAGAAGACTCTCTCCCTCCTGGAAAAGCAGTATTTTATACATGGGCCGATCCAGTGGGCTCTAGAAAGCTGAAGTGGAGTTGTGGGAAAAGCCACGGTGAAGTAACACAAAAAGATGTATGTTTTGGGCTGATTATCATGATGTCCTCAGCAGCATTTTTTTGTTTTTTAAATAGTATTCTCTTTGAGCCTTACTAGTTTTAAGGCATGTTTATGTCTGCACTACTAAAATAAACTGACAAAGATTTAAAAAGTATTCAAACTTTAACTTAACCAAAAATGTTTAAAACTTGAAGTAGTCTTATTTTGCCTACATCATTATTTGCTTCCATCCTATATAATAAAAGGGTAATATGCAAATTGACCCTAACAGCGGAATGACCAGGAACGACCGGTCACTATGATGTGCACTGACCATCAGGAGGCAGATGCTCAATGCAGGAGCTACCCCCTGGTGGTCAGTGTGCTCCCACAGGAGGAGCTCCGCTCAGCCACAAGGCAGGCTGACAGCTGCAAGCACAGCAGCAGTGGCGGGAGCCTATCCCACCTCCTCGGCAGTGCTAAGGATGTCCGACTGACAGCTTAGTCCCATTCCTTTTGGGGAGCGGGCCTAAGCCGTCAGTCGGACATCCTCTGAGGGCTCCCGGGCTGCCAGAGGGATATCTGACTGCCAGCTTAGGCCCGATCCCCCCAGGGAGCAGGCCTAAGCTGGCAGGTGGACATCCCCCGAGGGTTCCCGGACTGCAAGAAGACACAGGCCGGGCTGAGGGACACCCCCCCCAACCAGTGCATGAATTTTCATGCACTGGACCTCTAGTCGTATATAATAAATAGGTAATGTGCAAGTTGAACATCACTCCAACACATAAGATGGCCGCCCCCATGTGGTCAAAGATGGCTGCCACAAGATGGCTGGCAGGGGAGGGCAGTTGTGGGCGATCAGGCCAACAGGGGAGAATAGTTGGGGGGGACCCAGGCCTGCAGGGGAGGGCAATTGGGAGGGACAAGGCCTGCAAGGGAGGGCATCTGGGGGTGACCAGGCCTGCAAGGGAGGGCAGTTGGGGGTGACCAGGCCGGCAGGGGAGGGCAGTTAGGGGCAATCGGGCCGGCTGGGAGGGCATTTAGGGTCAACTAGGCTGGCAAGGGAGGGAAGTTAGGGGTGACTGGGCCAGCAGGAAGGGCAGTTGGGGGTCACCAGGCCTGCAGGGGAAGACAGGGGTGACCAGGCCGGCAGGGGAGGGTAGTTAGGGGCAACCAGGCTGGCAGGGGAGGGCAGTTAGGGGTGACCAGGCTGGCAAGGGTGGGCAGTTAAGGGTGACCGGGCCAGCAGGGGAGGGCAGTTAGGGGCAATCGGGC